TAAGGCCAGTGATACTATTAAGAATGTGAATGCTCAAATTCAAGACAAGTTGGGGATTAAACCAAACCAAACCAGAAGGAGGGCTGTGATAACAACATTGGCGAAAGTGTTGGTTGTGGGGCCTGCTGGTGTTGGGAAAACCAGTCTTCTCTACCTCCTGCTCTGTAAAGATCCACCAGACCAAAGAACTAGCACTAGCTGTGCTGAGAGATCAATACGAGTTATACGTATCGGCAAAGAATCAGGGGAGTGGAACGAAATTCCCAAAAAGGAATTTGAGCAGATGATTGCAGAGGCAGTCCCAGTTATGTGTGAGGAGCTGAAAGCCAAACGAACTGGAAGTACTGAAGAGAGAACTAGTAGTAGTACAGAAGAAAGAATGACAACCATTAGTAAAGTTGTTCGAAAGTTTACAGAACTTGTAAGTGGTAAGCGTCTGAGTAGTGGTATAACAGATGTAACAGAAGAGATGGAGGCGAGCAAGAGAAATCAAAATGAGGAGAAAGTTGATGGAGATGAAAAAGAAGATACAGTTTTGAAGGAAGAAGAGGTAAAAGAGGAATGCGAGATTGAGGAGAAGAGAAGGGAAGAGGGTCGTGGTGGCGATTATCCCGAAAAGACACCAACTACCAATCCAGATAGTACAGAGGAAAGTGATGTAGCCATTGGAGGAGTCATGCAAAAGCTTACTGGGCTTTGTGAGTATTGGTAAAGAGCCACGTCGTCTGTTAAACATGGATCTCATCTATCTGACTGATAGTGGTGGCCAGCAAGCCTACTGGGACCTCATTCCTGTGTTCACCCATGATACTTCAGCCACCCTCTTTGTCCACCGGCTATGTGAAAAGGCTTGATGAGCACCCTCTCAACGATCTCTACCAGAGAGGAAAACAGGTTGGTCCTAGCCATAGAGCCACACTCACCACACTGCCGAGGCCTTCAAGACAATGCTTCGAGGCCTCCATGAGGGAGAGGAGCGCTCAAATATCATCACAGTTGGCACTCACAGAGACATTGCTGGTGATTGTGAAGAAACCCCTAAAGGAACAGAACAAGAAACTTGCTGATATTGCATCACACCATTATAAAGATGGTGTTGTGTACTGGAATGAGGTAATGGCAGAAATCATTTTCCAGCTGAACACCAAGAATCCTGATTATCATGATAAGAAAGAGGCCAGCAAAATCAGAGCCTGCATTGAGAGTGGTGCCAAGCAACATCAGATTCCAATCTGGTGGTTTATCTTCCAACTCATTCTGGAGTCACTGGCTGTTAACCTAGGGAGAGAGGTCCTGAGTAAAGAAGTCATTCATGTCTCTAACACACTAGGTTTTCCTGAAGAGGAGGTTGATGCTGCCCTTACTTTCTTTGACAAGTTGAACATATTCCTCTATAAGAATACCGTTCTTCCTGGAGTGGTCTTTACCAATGCTCAAGTTCCTCTGGACAAACTGTCAAAACTGGTTGAGAAACAATACCACCTGAGGGCTGCAATGGCTTATCCAACCAAAGCAGCTGACTACCCAATGACTGGAGACTGGCGGAAATTTCGTGACAAAGGAATCCTCACTCTTGATTTACTTGTTAATAAAGAGTTCAAGGACCACCATGTGGATTGACCATTTACAGCAAGACATTTTCTCATCTTGCTTGAAAAACTTCTTGTTGTCTCTCAACTTTCTGAAACTGTGAATATATCTTACCTGCTATCCTCAACATGACCACTCAAAGATTAAGATTAATGCACGTCTTGAGTCATGCAGGACCAGCAAGGTAGCAGCTCTGGTGGTGGAGTTCCCCACTGGCTGGGTTCCTCCTGGTGTCTACTGTTGCAGTGTGTGCCACCTTCAGTCCCACTCTGGCTGGAGGGTAGCCAAGAAACCACTCATAAGACAAGCTTCCGGTACACTTCATGCCTACTGCAGTCACGAAAAAGTCAAACCACCACCACCTACTACGGTAGATTCAAAGTCATGTAAAAGTAAAACCACTACCACCTACTAAGCCACTAACGGTATTTTCGAAGTCAAGTCATGTGAATGTCAAACCACCAGCACCTACCAAGCCACTAATGGCAGTTACAAAATCAAGTCACATGAAAGCCAAACAACCAACAACTTCTAAGCCAATACTTCTAGTTTCCAAGTCAAGTCAGGAAGGAAAGGAAGGAAAATCTATCAAACTATCCACCACCTTCCAAGCCAATAGTTTCACACTCACGTTCTGAAAAAATCCAGCATATCAAACAAATACCTCTTGGCCACTCAAGCTTTGGCTCAGTGCATCAGGTGAGCTTATATTATTTAGCTGCACTTCAGTAGTTTTGTGCTGTAGATATATTACCACGACGCTGGCACACACAGAGAATATAGCTGGTTTACACAGTATTGCAATACACATGTCTCTGTTTTCTAGGCTACGGAGGCACAATGAGTGTTCTTGCAAACAGAGTGGCAACAATCATTCCACACCAGTGGAGGAAAGTGGCCGTCCAGTTGGAGCTAAGTGGAGGAGAGATAAAGGCTATTCAGAATGATGAACGTGATAGTTTCCACCAATTCATGGCTGTTATGTACCAGTGGAAGCAGTCTCTCAGTATACCATTTACATGGGATACACTATAGTCACTGCCCTTCGGTCCCCTTCTGTGAACGAAATCAGACTATCAAGTGAACTAAATCACGAATTTTGTTGATATTTTGGTGCTAAAGCTGTTGTTAAAACTGTAGTACAACTACGCATACATGTTATAAATCAACAGGTAACATTTTACTGTAGCCCGATTGAAAACAACAATCTTGTTTCCAACTTTTTGTCTGTTATCTGGGATGTCACCATACATTTTGCTACTCAATGCCATCTGAATGGTTGCAAAGTGGGGGAGTGGCAAGTCTGAAATTTTATGCTGGTTGAACATGCAGACTATAAAACTATAATAATCTCTTGGCTGATGTCTACGATTGAGAGCTATATACGTAGCAATTCCAGCCTTTCATTAAACCAATGGCTCTGGAGCAAATAGAGCTCACACATGAAAAACACTCAGGCCCTCTTATAAATCCATTTTTCACAGTATTTGCACTTTCACTCAAAAGAAAGAAGCAGCCGAAACACAAGCTGTACTATCTAACAATAGCTAACAGTATACACAGTGGCAGGTAAACTACCACTTTCTGTTCCATGCTGATACACTCTGAGATTGAGTACAGAATGGAGAAAACCTCCCGGGAGTAAGCACAAGCCTGATGGTAACCTAATTAAGAACTCAAAGGCAAAAACTGATCCTCTCCATTCCCCTTATGTCACTGCCAGTTTCTTCATTCACTACTCTGTCTAAGTGCACATCAACTGAGGGTGGCAGATTAATTTGTATTTCATGATCAAGTATACTATATACAAATACAATATTATGGACTGCAACCACTTGCAATGGGAATGGTATGGATTTGGCTTTTTCTATTAGGCTAAGTCCATAGTCCATAGACTGAGTTATTACTGGTGACTGGTATGCACACCTTCCATGCTAATGCAGTAAGAAAGGAGAAAGTATATAAATTTAAAAAAGGAAAGTGTAAAGGGATTCTATAGAGGACCAAGAAAAACTGAGAGAAGATGGATGTCTTAAACTATGCAGTCACGACTCAATAAACAAGGAGCTTTCACAGAGGGCAACACCTTTGGAATACCTGTCATTTGCTTATAAAATGAGTCATAGCTGCACACAAAGGGAGCAAGCTCATGTTTCGTGACAATGTAGGGCTTGTATGGAGGAAACATTTCACAAGCAAGTAACGTCAGTTTGAGTATGGAGCCATTATAATGCATCACATACACTATATCATCTCTGTCTTGTCTTCTTGCTTTTTTTTATACCATCTCTTTCATTCGAAGAATTTATGTTATGCATAATAATGTGGTAAAGCAATAGAGTTGTCCCTGTCTGTGTTAGGTTTGTTTAATCATAGAAGCTGCAAGTAGTCTCTGCTTCTCCAGCAGTAATGGGTCAAGGGTGTAGTTAGTCGCTGAGGAAACAAGGGGACTTATTATTTCATGGACTTGCTCCAATGTAAGTTTACGAAAGAGCTCAGCATCCTCAAATCCATCTCTAATGTTCATCAAGCGAACTGATGGAATGGGGCCAGAATTTCCGGGGTAAACAAAGTTTCCATCACCATTGGCAAAAATGTCCGTCCTCGGTAGCCAGATATAGTTAGCAGGATCAAAATCTGTTCTTGCCGTGCCACTGATTTTTGCCATAACAGCTTTTGAAGATGGATAGCGATTCCACATTACACTCGAATAGTATAGCCAGCCACTGACGGGGTGAGCACTACCCAGCCAAAACAACAGTCGAGCCATCATCAGAGGTCTCTCGATGAAGGTATTAAGGAACGTGGTTCCAGATGGCTCTATACAATGATACCACCACTGTTCTTTTCCCGTCGCAACCCACTTGGCAGCATCAGCTGCATTATAGTTCTCATACTGCAAAACCCAGGCATCAAGAGGTAGATCGGTGGGTGGAAGCCAGTTGAGTGTAGCCATCGTGCGCAACTGAGGCCACTTTGTCTTTATTGCTCCATACATGTTCCTCAAACTTTGCTCACACTCAGGGCCAACTTCATCAAACCCATACACAAACATGTTAGGTAATATTCCAACCTCATTGTATTTTTCCACCACTGGAGAGAGAATGCTCATAACTTTGGCAACAAGGTCACTTGTAAAGTTAACACACACACCCTTTAACTTCATGCTTTCATCAATACCTGCTGCACCGTACACATCATAGAGGGTGAGCCATTGTATACCAGTGTAAGATAGCGTTTCAGCAAGATCAATATCGGTTGGCTCTTTTGTATAAAGGTCATCTCCACCTACTCTTTGATCAATTAATAAGCGATAAAAGAGTTGAGAGATATTTGTTGTTTTCTCCCCATATATATTACTAAGTACACTGGGAGAAAAGGAGAAAACAGCAGGAAACTTTGCGTCCTTTAGGTCTGGCAGACTAATGTTCCACACAGTCAATTTCACAGGGATTGTTTGAGTTAGCAGCTCACTTTCAGGTGTCATTATCGAGACATTAATCTCCCCACTGTACTCGGGGCTTGCTGCTCTGAAGGGAACAAGGATGCTAATCCAAAATGGTGTGGTTACGGACACCTCTAAAGCTATGTTATCCTCTGTTGAAGGATCAAGCAAGGGGTCTGGACGCCACCCACCCCCTGAGTCTGCATATCTAACAGTGTGGCGACAAAAGACGTACCCAACTTCAAACCACCGAAGGTATCGACTGGGAACTAGGTCATTTTCTCCGCGTAGATCTCCAAACTTTACCGATACGTTGGACATGTTTAGTTCAGGAACCCAGGACCGTGTATCAAGAAGAATCTGTCTTGCCTCATGTTCACCTTTCATGGCGTACCACTGGACAGTCTTAGCAGCTAACGATGAATAGTCATTGCAAGTCTGGTTCTGGAGGACGTGGACAGTTCCTGGAACAACACACCAGTCGGGGAACACGGCACCACGAGCACAGCAAACGACGAGGGTTATCAACACTAGTTGAAGGATCATTTTGGACATGGTGAGGGGATTCCCTGCTCCTCTCTTACACACCCCTTATGCGTGGGCGGTGTTTGTGTTTCCCGTTCAGCCCCGCCCCTGTACGCGCAAAAAGAAGTATATTATACAGATTTGAGCAGTGAACCAGCGATGGGTGCTGGCATTTCCCGGCGGTCAGAACCAGAGGTCCATGTGGTGGTCGTGCAGTCTCAAGAAAACGGGCAGGTAGACGCCAAAGTTGTACGGAAAAGCTACCGCAAACCGGAGTCGGAGGGAGGTAAGCATAGGCTATAGTGCACCAAACCACAAGGGGCTCTTGGATTTGCTTTCTAGAGGTCCGTTGCGGTGCATCTGACGATGAACTGTCTTCTGAACACCACTTGCACAGCAGATACATTAGGCAGCCTACGGAAGGTCATCATTCTTACTCAAAACTCAAATCCCCGACCCATCGTAGAAGAAACATCCCAAATCAGCTAACAACAAGAGCTTTTGAGCCCCTCAGGTATATAGCTACCACTTATTAACATCCTGAAGTCATTTAACTGAGCCCTTTGGCCTCTCCAATTAGATTGTCGTCCTCATTGTCTAGTGACCACAGAGAATGTGCACCTGATTTTATAACTCCGTCTTATAGCGACCCTAAACACCAACAAAGAGTGAAGGCAGAGAGACCAGTAACTGAGGAACTATCGCCAGTAGGAGACATTGCTCGCACAACGTTTGAATTGTTTAGGACTTATGATGGTGCTGAAGAGTATACAGTGTATATGAGAGACGATGGAAAACGGTTTTATGTAGATTTTGAGGAACAGGTATTTTCTGTTGCATGCTGTTGATCCCCATCAGTAGAAGGATACATGTTTCATGCATACTTTTAGAAGTGGCGCTACTTTCCAAAGTCATGGGAAGAGAGAGGATACTTTAAAGCAATAGATTATGATCCTTATGAGGTTAGCTGGTGTCAGTGGCAGTGGATATACTATTACAGATAGCAATTGACAGAACTCTGAAAGTTTGGCACAAGGTAAACAGTTTCGTGATACCCGTTCTGGAGAATTTATTCATCCCACTAAAGGAAAATTGGTAACATACCTCAGGCAGGTATAATATTTTATATGGTTTTATTTTGACTGAATTCATAATGGTATTTTGTACACGAAGGAAACGCAAAATGTCTTGTATTTCTTGGATGAAACTAGCGGAGCATGGTTACCGATGCCACTTAACTGGGAGAGACATGTACCTAACATTACAAACCTTGCTGAAAAAGTACAGGTATGATCATAATGAGTGTGATTTGAGACAAACCTTCCAAATCATAATACTCCCTCAGAAAGCCTGTCCACAATGGAAAGACACGAGGGCAATTGTTGCTCTACTCAGACAATGCAATTACAGTGTAGAGGACTGTGTCAGCATCTTTACATCTCTTAATGATGACGGTTAAACTGCATTTTAACATTTGGCATCGTTATTTTAATGATTTCTATGCAGGTGTTTTGGACACATCAGAACATTCTGGAAGAGATATGTTGAGAGCAAAGCTGGAGAAGCAACTAGTCGAATCTGTAAGCCTGGTGATTATTATGTGAACTTATAATAATAACACTGATAAAACTACAGAGATATCAGCTGAAAAGAATGGAAGAAAGAAATAAGGAGTTGGAAATGGACAACGAAATACTGCAAACTAAGGTATTCGATATTACCACGACTACTATTGAATTCACTGTGCATAGCTACATGCACAAACTAAATCTTAAAACTTTAGCATAGTTTTAGTCCTACAGTATATACACATCTGATATCAATCACCACACAGCCATCAAATAATTTTTTAATTTGTCATCACCTGCAACTGAAAGTATTGTGAGAGTTTCGTAATCCTTATGCTGTTCGTGTGAAAAATGAGGGGGGGGTGGGGCTGATAATTATTTTAACCAATACTATGCTTAAAAGCTTGCTTGCCTACTTTTAAACTCTTTGCACTGCCATAATAGGGTTGGTTTTTAACTTTCTAATACGTACTAGTCACTGACCAAAAATTGATACAGCCAAACGTTTCAGTAGCACCAGGCTACCATCTTCAGTCGCATAATGAAAGATACAAGCAAGGGCATGGTGATGATGTTATGGAATGTGTCAATCATTACTTGTATATTTTTTCTGCTTTTCTTTTATGTTTTAATTTCCTTTTATATTATTTATTATGTGCTTTCTTCTATGTTTACTTTTATACTCTTCTTTCCACTCATCAACCTTGGTTTTCCATCCTTGCCATAGGAATGATTGACATATTCCTTTCTATTTTACATCATCACCATGCCCTTGCTTGTATCTTTCATTATGCAACTGAAGATCGTAGCATGGTGTTACTGAAACATTTGGCTGTATCAATTTTTGGTCCATGACTAGTGTTAGAAAGTTACAACTAAGCTATGAGCTTTCCTAGTCAATTGAGCATGTTCAACGCTATAATAGGGTAATGCATAGGGATCAGTTTGGATACGTGTGTCAATAACTGCAAATGAATCCCATGGTTAGCTCTTGCCCTAAAATTATATTATATAGCTTCAGGAGTTGGAGATGGAGAACAGACGGTTAAAAAGAGATGCTGAGAGACACTCAAAGTATCAACAGCAAATTGTAAGGATTTATTATAATATTCAAAAATAGTCAATACACCTTAGAACTAGTGTTAATTGAGATTGTGTTTTCATAGGTCAACAAGAAGCACTCTACATCAGGCAGATCAATATTTTTCACTCCCAGAAGGAATTTGCATGTTCTAAAGGAAGATGTAAATACTTTGCAAACGAAAATAGTCTCTCTGCAAAGCGCTGCTACAAAAGGAATGACAACCTACCGAACCATGTTGGACAAGGTACTTGATATCAACTTATGCCCCATGCAAGACATATAACAGCGTATTTAATAGTTTTCCTCAGAAATTACTAAATTACTATGTGCTTACCGTGGTCAATCGAGGGAAATTGGTGAAGTAAGAGCTCTTTATCAGAAGGAATCCTTGCACCGAAAGCTGCTGTACAATGAGGTAAGTGATGAGTACTTCCCGCATTTAGGCTCCTTGTTTCAAGTGACACAATAAGCAACAAACAGTAGCATGGTGGCATCACATGTAGCCTAAACACTGGCACTTCATAACACATAGATAACATTTTATCATAGTGTCTACATTGTCAAACTGGGTAACTAAAATAGCCTACGTATGTTTATAACAGGTGGGGGAAGACTACAACAATAGTTATTGTCAAGTTTCTGATTTTTCCTGTCAGGCACTGAATCAGCATTTGAGCAGCCTGGTGCATAGTAATTTGGCATCAGGAAAAAGTATAATGTTCTACTGATATTACTTCCAACAGGTCCAGGAGTTACGAGGAAATATTCGTGTGTTCTGTCGCTGCCGCTATGATGAGCGTGGGGCATGTGCCTTGAAGTTTGATGCCAGTGGCATGATTGTGTGCTCTACTGGACAAGGCAGACGGAGAGCATATGACTTTGAAAAAATATTCCCCCCCAACTCTACTCAAGAGGAGGTAAAAACACATCAGTAACTACACTAGAGACGATTTGTTAATTCTACATCTAGGTATTTCAGGACACTAAGGCAACCATCACATCATGCGTGGATGGATATAACGTGTGTATTATAGCTTTTGGTCAAACTGGAGCAGGAAAAACATACACTATGATGGGTTCAAGGGACCAACCAGGAGTCAACATCAGGTTGTGTAAGGGAGGGATATAACACTCAGTTGTTGATGACATAGAGTCCTACATCCAATAGTAAACACTCTTGGAGAAAGGTTGTCGAAAATTTAATGACTTGGTGTGATTAACCAATAAACAGACTCCTTGTGGTTTGACTACATACTGTGTTATTATTTAGATCAGTGAAGGAACTGTTTAGAATTTGTAAAGAAAGAACCAAAGTGAAGTACTCCATGAAGGTATAGAAATTCATTCCGATTTCCTAATTCTCAAACTGTACATTCTTCTGCTTTAGGTGTCTATGGTTGAGGTCTACAACGAAGCAGTGTTTGATCTTCTTGTTGCACCTGATGATGGGCATGAGAAACTCCAAATCATTAAAAAAGGAAAGGAAACAGTTGTACAGGTATTGTTTCTCTAAAGCAGTATAGCGATTCATCCTATTGCTTTTCAGGGTTTGACAGAATTTGAAATAAGAAACATGGATGACATAATGATGGTTATGCAAGAAGGAGAACAAAACAGAACTGTCGCAGATACAAAAATGAACACTAACAGGTAGAGTAGAGAAAGAATTACTCAATATGTACTTATGACACATCACACAGTTCTCGTTCACACCAAGTTCTAATGCTGCGTGTGGAGGGGTATGACAGAGTGTCTAAGACTACAAGTCATGGCAGACTGACCCTCGTTGACCTCGCAGGGTCTGAGAGGATTTCACGTAGTGAGGCTACTGGGATAAGATTGGTTGAAGCTGCATCTATTAACAAATCTCTTTCTGCCCTTGGACAGGTATATTATAACATTTCGCCCTGAATATATATCTCCGTATCCACTGCTGCTAGTTCTAGAGGTCATGACATAGATATGACACATTCAAAATAGTCAGAGTTGAACATTTCAATCATGAAGGTATCACTAGATTTTTTTTATTCACAGGTATTTTCGTCCATCAGGAACAATGCACTTCATATTCCCTATCGTAATTCAAAACTCACCTTTCTTTTACAACCTTCAATTGGGGGAGACTCTAAGGTAGCTATTACATACTGAGCCTGATTATTATTTATTGTGCGTTTTGACCTGCAGGTGTGTGTGTTTGTCAACATAAGTCCACTTGCATCCAATTTGGCAGAGACTATTAGCACTCTTGAATTTGGGCAGAATGTGAGACAAGTGGAACTTGGCCAAGCACACAAACACATTACGAAAGTTATTTAAAGTCATATGTCTATTGTAAAATGCAGAAGCTAGTATTGCAGCTGATGAGCTAAGGAGGCAGTAGAAATTGGCGTTTTCTCTGCTATCTTATTGTGGTATGATTAGTTTGGATCCGGCCAAGGTGTCCATAAGTTCAGTAACATATTAATGTGGCAGCTGTGGGTTTTTATCCTTCTACGGACCCCAAAGTGGGCCACAAAACCCATCAAGACAGTCCATTCGAACAAAAAAATTTCAGGTTTCTTCAATTGCCCCATAAGCTATCCAAACTCTTCTTGCACACCTCGATCCCTGCTGTAGTTATGACTTAACAATAGTTACCCCTAAAATCTACATCCACTTCATAGAGTAGCTGGTGCTCCTGGTCCAAATCCAGCAACATTTGAAAATGACTGAGGCACCAATGTCAACCTGCACATCCAAAATCTCAATTATTCTTACACCATCACAGTGGTGTAAAAAATGATGAACTATGAGGCTCTCTCCACTAACTCCTCACTACTGCTTTTTCTGTCCCAACATATTTGAGAAAGGTGTTGCTTTTACTCAAAGAACATGGTTCTGCACAGTATAACATGATCATTACTGCGCTTACAGACATACTGTGTTTAGCTACTTCATATTCCTCCAGAAGTAGTGAATTACTTTGATTCTCCATCAAAAAAATGATGTTGTGCTTATTATGTAGGTATCATTATGAAAACGATAATTATGACTGCTATGGAAACACTACTACTCTTAGCTCTACTGTCTATGTATAATGTCATCCTTTCAGTAATAGTTACTAAAATCCGTCTGTGCAAGTCAGACTCCCGAGACATTTCTTATAAATAGTCATCTTTCCTGTTCCCTTAACATTCCATGAAAAGGATAGGGCATCTATTTTATGCTTTTTCTTGTAAGCATCCTTTCCTGTGCATACCTGAAAGGCAAAAAAACATTGTTTAGTAGGGATAGTAATGTATTCAAGCAGCTAGGCATTACATGTTGTGTGATTACTCAATGTAGAGCCAATCTCCTACATTATATCTATAATATCCTTGGTACCAGTAATAAACATAGCTATAATTATACGAATAGCTGCTAGAGGTACTATTGGACCATAGCAGTTACTAGGTATGAGATTATTACCCAAAACTAACAATAGTGATAAGTATTTCAAAGCAAAAGGAGCCCACCACTTTATCTGAATTGGACGAGCAAGTGAAAGTATGCTAAACTAGTGGTTCAAAGAGCATTGTCTTGGCATGTCATGCCTGTGCACAGGCTTTACACTATCTTCTATGTGAAATGATGTTAGAAATTTCTCATACATGAAGGTTCACTCCTGGTGACCAAGTATGCTCTTGTATTCATGTACTCCTCATTCAGCATAGTAAAACCCCTGAATTTGCACTGACGGATTCTTTATTATTAACCCAGCGTGCATGCATTCCTGGTGCTTTATGCACATGAAAATTGTGCACTTTAACACAATGGGCTCGCCGGGGAGTTTGCACTATATAGCACTTTCAATGGAACAAGCAAATCTAACAGTTTATATTATAGTTCAGTATTATTTAGGAACTTACAAACCATCCGCACCATCCTCTCCATGCATACCATGCGTACAATTCAATCTTGTTATCTTCCCACTGGTGGTAGATTCCAATGCAATTGCTGATTGATACTCCATCTTTAGTTGAATAGCATATATTTGAGGTGACCTCTGGAAGCAGTTGGTAGTTTAAGGTTGCCGATAATGTGAGACCAGCCTTAGCAACTAACTACATCATGGCAGAGTGTGTGTATATGAAAAATCACTATTCATTACATAGGGGAACTACTGACAGCTCAAGCATAAAAATTTTTGTAGCATACCTAACAAACACATGAATGTTGAGCTTGGTCTTATATACATACCAAGTTGGTATTTACTGCAACCTAGCACAGTTATGTATTGTACATTTCGCTTTGTCTTGTGCTGTGCGCCTTTGCCTGCTGAACTGCCCTAATAGTTCAGTGGTAGTGCACTCCTAGACATTCGAATCTCACCCAGGGCAGCTAAACCTTGAATTATATGGACCCCAAAATTTTGTCGTACCTAAAACTTTCCCTACAACTTACAGCAACTTCTAAATCACCGGAAGCAGCAACAGTTAAGGTTAGTGTTGGAGACAGGCCAGCACCTGCGGTTATTCTTCCCTTACCTTCACAGAACTCTACATACAACCCAGCTGTGAAGTGAGCATGGGCTGTTAGTTCAAAATCTAAGGTACCAACCACCACAAATACACTGTAGGTGAAGTCAAATATTGTGTACTCCTTTGCTTCGTAGACAGGTTCGTCATATGTTTTGCATACAGTTGAATCTTGATCTACATGAACTTTCTTCACAGTATTCCCCATCACAATTGCGTACAGGTCACTTACAGTGGATAGTTCATCTTTTTTGCGCATAACAAGAAATTCAAGCATTGTTAAAGTATAATCATAACAATGAGCCTTCGCTACGGCGTGCCCAAAAAGTTTGTAATCACCAGTATCATTGGCACCAGCAAAGACACCTGCAGCCACTTGTATATTAATATCTTTACCACCTAACTGCTTTCCCCATATATAAGAGATGTAACTTGGATATTGCTTGGTGTCATTTACACGATCTGTAGAGCTTTCGACCAGGTCATATACAGATTTACTCTCAGCCCAATTTGTTCCCCTGCGGAAACGTGTTGTGTTGGAATTTTGCATGTAATGAAGAAGAGATGTTGAATGCTCAGTATTGATTGTTTCAAGATAGCTTGTAAGGGAGGAAATAAGTTCATCGTTGCTAGTGCCCAATGCAGACAAAACAAGTAACTGTGCAATATCAGATGAATATGGCTTTTTCTCACCATTGACCTTGGCTCTTTCAGTACCATAGAGTAGAGCTTTTCCAATCATAGTCAGATGATCTGCAGTCACCTTGGGTCCACTAAGAAATTCTTTGAGAGACACTTGTATCAGAGCATCATCCATTATAAATCGCATAGCTAAAATTGTACTCAGCTGGACATCCACCTGAGAATGGCTAAGATAGTTCACAAGAAAGTCTGACATTTTAGGTGAAGCTGTGTTTCCAAGGGAAAGAATATGGTGTATGAGAGAATAATTGTTTTTCTCTGCTTCTGGGAGTCGATCGAATAGAAATAGAATCATACGGTGTTGTAACTCTGGAGACGCTCTAGATAATAGGGCACCATAAGCTAGTAGTAGAGGGTGATTTAAATGGACATCGGATGAAATTAGATACTCCAATCTGGCAACAAATCGAGGCTGTGGGTTAGCAACTATAGATATGTACACTGCAGCAGTTTCCTCTTCATCATCATTAACAGCCTTTTCAAAACCTTGAATAAGTGCCTATTGTGTACAAAACAAGACATATGCAAAGTATTAGTGGGATCTGTAATGCCAGAGTGTGGAGAGTCCTGTATATGTGGCTTGTAAACAAGGTTAGGTTTTTGTGTAGCAAACTACCATTTGTGATGAAATACTTCCTGCTGGTGCGATAATGAAGTAGAGTTGAAATCGCATCCTGATATCTTTAGTGCTGTTTGAGCCAATGAGCTGTGCAAAAACACTCATAAATACAAATAAAAAAACAACAAATTTACAACATACGGGTTTAAGGTACTCCAAAACAATATCAATTGCTGGATCAAAAGATGGTGCTTGGCCATACTCAGCTTCTAATTTAATTAATTTTTCGAGCTTGTGAGCTGTGGAAGAAAAAATATATTGATTTTTAGTTGAAATAGTGCGAGTTTCTTTTACCTATAGTTAGGTTTTGTGGATGGTCATGAAGAAATTTCAGGGATTTCCTTATATCGCCAAGGAAATTGTTCAGCTCAATTATTTTCATCATAACCTTCTGAGCTGTAGAGAAATAGATATTAACATACTGAAAAATATACTGCAACCTACTTTGATTAATAGATCCAAGCAATGATGTCATTACTGCATTCGGTAAGTCAGCATGATCAATGACACTTCTTCGGTTGCGTGAGCGGTACTTCTTAACAAACGTTAAATTGTAATTTCCACTTGACTCAAAACTATTGGTAGTCACATTACTGTCGTACGTTTGATTTGCATCAGGATTATATGGACCTTCACTTGCAACGGTATCTCTCTTATCCTGCTGTCTCTCATTCTCCAATGAGTCACTTTGCCTGTCAGTGTCTTGATTTACATTTTCCTAGGTTATACGCATTCATGGAATATGTGAATAAGTTTTCTAGTTTAAAACAAAAGGGGTTCCTGACCACAGTTTTGATACATTCATGCCTGGAATGGTACTATACCCAGAAACAGAAATATGTGCGAAATTGCTTCTTCTGTGTGCTCTATATAACCATGGAACAGGACACATGCAGTAATTTTTACTGAGCGTGATCAGGAGCATTAAAGTAACTCGATCCCTTTACCTCTGTCATCAATTTGCAGTAGACAGTTCCTTTTGCACGGGATAGTTTCCCCTTGTCGTATGTCAAATCTTCTCTTTTCACAAGTTTTACTTCTTCATTTGGGACATGCTGAGCATAGCCTACAACCTCTCCAGAAACTATTTCTCGATGCACATTAAGTATACCATTTTTCATATCTTGGATACTCGCAGAAGCACTGAAAGGAGAAAGGAATGAGCTGTAGGTATTTATTTCATACCCAAAATGAAGCAGAAAAATCTAATTACCACAAAACAGTATTTATAATTTTCTAGTGAAGCAAGCAAATGTTGAGGCCACCTTTATTGTGAATGCATGGACAGATCAAATGTACCCCGGAGTATTTAATGTTTGTCAGTGCTAGCTTAACCTACTGCATTCAAGTCAGTAGGTTTACTATTATGGTGGCATTACGCCATCATCTAAAACCAAATAGTATAGCCACCGTTTCCATTTCAATGGAAAGTGAATACCGTTTGTGATAGTAGATATGGATGATGGCATTATATTACCACCATGTTTGTAAGATGCATTAAATCATCAGTCTAGGGTCAATTACATGTAGCTTGGACAACTATGTACTTCAAACTGGAAGAGGAGGACTCTTCTTCAAATATGATGTAGACTTCTACAATAATTATCTACCTCATGCTTGCTCATACCAGGTATTTATGGCATTGTGTTGACCCTCGGGTTGCTCAGTGAGTGACCCTCAGTGTCAAACAGAATGGAAAATGCAAGCGAGCCTACTAAATATGCAGTTTACACCAGCAATTATATCCTATCACGAAACAGAATAGACATTTTGTAACTGTGGGCCATTTCCGTGTGACTCCCTCAACATTGTAGTGAGGTGTAATGAGTTCCTGCTCAACACAATGAATTTCTATGATGTCATAAAGGAACTTGTGGAAAAATGTTTTAAGGTTCGACAATGGTGGTGTTAGACAACATTTGTCAGTAGTAGTGAATTAGTTAAGGTTAAGCTGCACTGACCCTCGTGCATGACTGAGTGCTTGCGAGACTACAGTGAAAATAGCCAGCAAAAATCGTCCACACAGAGCAAAGCAATCCATGAATGTGAAACATAAATCGTCAACAAGAAACACTTTTGCCTTCTGTAGCAAGGTCGCTTTGAGTGATCCCTATATAGCTCTCACACAGCGAAATTACGCATCATGACAGCAAAAACAATTTAACATAATAATTGACAATAACTTACGTGTAGTTAGATATATGCTGGGACTGAGGGTCAGATTCAGATCTTAGTTTTTCACCTAAAGAATTGATTTGAAAAGCAGACACAATAGCCTTTTTGATGTTAATTATATTAGCATCTTGTTCACGGGAGTAGAATGTCACAGGAATAACACCATTATCAGTCTGAATAAACTGGAACCAACCAGACCAATCTACATTTGTATCTGCAGATGAATCACTACTATGTCTTGCCAAGATATTGCCCCCCATCGTCGTGTTTATAATCTCCAAAGAATACAGGTTGGAGCGATTGTTTCCATATTTTCCAACTGCAAAAATGAATCTCACAAATATGCTAATAAAATGCAAGCTTATTAGTGGAAAACTGTACCTGATAGGCAGGTGATTTTAAAATCAATTACTATATCAAAGGTCTGGGTGTATTTCTTTCCAAAGTACGATTCAACAGCTGTATATTTGTACACATGCACATCATCCTAATAAAAACGATATTCAGTGAAAAAAGAACAACGCTTGGTTAGTTTACAAACCCCACAATCTTTTTCCTTTTTGTAGATAGTTGCTTCAATAGTGGGGAGGGTAGTTGCACAGAGTGCACTAACTACCAGAATTAAGGACAACATCTCTGAGAATGCAAGTCTCTAGTCTCTGGCCTTATATACACTGACCCTCAAGGGCTGCCATCATGTTCCCAAGGGCTCATTTGCTCTGAAGACTTCCTCTTCTATTGCAAGGGCTAGTTTGCTATTCAAAAATATAATGAAACCATAATGAGCATTCAGAATCAAAGTGTTGCGAAACCCTTGCACACTGTGCAAACCCCTCAGTGAAAGGTGTTCATTGTAAGAGCTGCAATCCTCTAACAGTATTATGAAAGACAGTTCGACATTGACTGCAAAGCAACCATGCCCTTAGAATTGAATAGCTTGAAAAGAAGCGAACTTAAACATCAGTGATCCGTTACAACAAAGACATTTCAGAAGTTACAATTTTGAAAAAGGCAAAACTTGTTTAAACACAAAAGGAAGAGCCTACCATAGTCAATCAAACTTAATTATAATAGTGGCTTCAAAAGTCTTGGCCAGGCTACAGATAATACGGAAGACTTTTGCCTGATACACAGAAACGAATATTTTGAGGAAGCCCACCATGCTCTCAAGAACGGGAAAGCTCTAGGTATTGACGGAATTCAGTGTTATCAAGACCAGTGTGGAAGGTTCATATGCAAGCTTTGGGAGACTGTGGGGTATGGCTGGAAACCCTACTCGACATCTTTGTACTTGGCCTGGTGGATGTAGGAGACAGCTTGGCCATTCAGGAGCAGAGGAGTGGGTGTGGTCTTGTCAGCCATCTCCTGAAATATGTAGTAGTCCTTCTCCCCTCCGACCCCCAGCCCACCCAGGCCTCCTTCTTCCTGGGCAAACGTTTGCAGATGATAATAATTGTGACCTTCTCCAAAGACCAAGATGGCCTCAATGGACAGGTTGCACAGTCACTGCTCAATTTTGTATTTCCTACTCCTCAAAAGGAGAGACCTGGCAATGAGATACAATAAAACTTAATATTTAGAAAGCAACTTGAATCTTTTCAATACCTTGGTAGCTATAGCTTTCACAAAAACAGTTAAAAATTATTTTTGCATGTTGACTATGCTGAGTCCAGCTGTTGATTATTTCAGGATAATAGATGATCACTTCGTGTAGTGGATGCATTACGAAGGAGAAGATGGAGTCCTTAGGGTTCACTACTGAGCAAAAATTAAAAGTGTAAACCCTCGGCGAACTGCGCATGCGCGGTACCGCTAGTTGATGGGCTAGGCTTTTAGTATGCGTTTACTCGTGGTCTCCCGCTAGTAGCTCGCAGAGAGTCTGATACGGGCTGGCTACAGCAGTAGATAGCATGCGAGAGTCGATACACGCCCTTCGTTGTAACTTTTTGTGCCTTTCAAGATACACAGAGCAAGCGGACCCGTCGAGTGCTAAATATAACCGCATGCGCATTTTCCGCAGCGATAAAATGGCGACTAACGGAGTTAGCCGTACAATGCATGCTGGAAGCACTCTAGCCTTGCAACGGAGCATTTTCAGAGAAAACCGCACAAACATTCTGACCTTCATTGCCCGTAAAGTAGGTAGTATCGTTTGTGAGACGAAAAAACATTGGAGAAGTGAGATGTTGACAGACCCAACTACCGTAACCCTCGCTGCGCATGCGCGCCGAGGGCAATGTCATTTTCAACTGCAGATAATCAAAACCAAATGAACAAGCCAATAAAGCAAATTACCACTGGCTTACCACTGGCTTACCTCGACCAATTAATGGGTTTGCGCACTGTAGAGGCAACAGAATTTACAACGGAGGTCAGTCTCAGGATGCCATCTACTGGTACATGGTATATAGCTATCGAGAGACTGTTTTTAGCAGTGCGCATGCGCAATGTATATAGCTTAGCGTGCATGCGCGTCTCCGGCACTAGCAGACGCTGCGATCAGAGCGGATACTACTGATTACCAGAAATGAGCCTGTTACCACAAGGTGAGTGACTAACTAACAACAGCGGTTTGCTCACCGTCCGCGTAGTGCTCTGCGAGGCCCGGTGGCACAGTTTTGTCTAGACTGTACTTTATTCATAGCTAGCTAGCTAACCAGCTAGAGCTATGTATTTTAGAACGTTTTCCTTTAATGGAATCGTCAATGTTTTCGTGTTTGTTGTTGACTCGGTTATCTAGCTAGAGTAGAGCAGTGCTTTCAGATGGAAAGTTTCCTGTGTACCATCGCAATTTGTTTGGTTGCGGTACGAGCGATACCACTGGAGGAATTTTATCCCTACAATCTCTCTGTTAACCAGCAACTGATTGCTAATGATGACGCATCATCCCGTGCCATCACACTTGATCCGCCGGTTACTTTCTATGGTCGCAGTTACAACAGTTGCAAGGTTTTTTTTAGTTGCGCTGTATTTATCTCTACGTGTTGATGAATTTGTGCCCATGGTCCATTAAAAGTATAGCTAGAGCTACGCGTTGATAAATTTAGGCAATATTTAGGACTAGTGACTCTCTCCACCTTAACAGTTACAAGGACATTGAAGGCAACTTAGTTGCTTTATCCACTTACTGCCTATTATTTCAGATACACAACAATGGATTGGTGACTTTCAACACACCTCCACAACACTTTATAGAAGATCCCTTCCCTCTAGCAGATTACACTTTCATTGCTCCTTTCTACGGTGATGTCGACACCAGGATGACTGGAACAGTGTGGTTTACGGACCCAGTAATAAATGAATCAAGTGTACTGGATAAAGTTGAAAATGATATCCACGACACTTTCAGAGATCATGCCTACTTCAAACCTGCTTATGTGATTATAGCTACATGGGACCAGGTTGGATATTTCAAAGAGCGTTCTGATAAGGTTAGCACTTTTTTGCTGGATTGTAACAAACATTTTCCTCACTTTATATACAGTTAAACACTTTCCAATGCATTATTACATCTGATGGGGTGTGCATCCTTTGTATCTTTCTTTACAATGAAATACAATGGACACTGATGAATCCAACTCAATGTCAAAACATGCTAAGATAGGCTTCAATGATGGTAATGATTATTATAATGAGATTTCTTGGAACTATAATAGATTCATGCACTGCAGGTACACTGTTCATGTCATGGCAAGTACCTTGCTCAATGACAATGAACTTGAAAGAAATTTCAAGAACAAGTAATGTTGGGATTGCAGGAAAATGGATTTTTTCGTGTGGATACAACAAACTTTTCAACTTGCCACAATGGTATGTAATTATTATGCCGTTTGTGAAATTCATCTACTGTTAATACACCGTAGATTACGCAATGGCATGTGAGTCAGACTCATTCTGCTCCTGTTCAACCCCGGATCCACAGCAGAAATGCATTTGCACCAATTTGAAGGAAGACATTCCGCAGTGTAGCTATGTGCCTGTAACAACACCAACAACGACACCAAACAACGACACCAACAACGACACCAACAACGCCAACAACAGGTTGGGAAAAGTTTTACAAGTGTTAATGATAAGTGGATGTCCATCATACTGAAAAAGTGACGTTTTATTTTACAGACGTCAATTAAACTGAAGTTGAACTGCGCGTGCGCATTGCATGGAACATACGCATGCGCTGGCCGGTACCGCAACCCTAGCTCGCTGTCTGACCCTGACACACATGAAATTGTGGGGCTCTACTTGCCCTCCGTTGCAACTTCTGATGCCGCTTAACTCAAGCTAGTGTAGTAACGAACATGTAGGTATTGCTGGTTTGTTTTTCTCAGTTGTGGAAAACGGCCAGGGTCTAAGTTGAAAATGATAAAACGACGAAAAAACTGCGAAGACCGCATTTTGTTTTGTACTGTTATAGACGACTGTTGCCACTCCACGCACCTAGCGCAGTACAACTTGCACTCATTGTATTCCAGTATGTGATGACGCGTAATATATATTTTTAATTTTCTATAGAAGGTTCCAAAGGGAGCTCTTACCCTCTGGCTTCTGATGAGATCGTAATATCAGCTGCAGCTTTCTTCTCCTGGTTGATGGTTATAACTGAGCTTCACACAGCATAGAGTCAATTGAAGGCCACATGTAATGTCAAACTTTGCACACTGAAAAAGTATACTATAAGCTAGCTGGAGACATTGATTAACAATATATAGTGCCTGCAAATGACTGATGTTGTTTAATTATATTTGGAGGGGAACTTCGGTGCATTGCTATTAATGACAGAGATTCGGTGGTCCAGGCTCGAGCACAGAATCAGAATTCAAGCAGCGGATATTCGACAGAGGCAGTTCCTATTCTGGTAGCCTCGTCCCCAGGCCCTTTCAGGCTATTATCACGAAGTACGGTAGTACTTAGTATGTAGGGATGGCACAAGTTGTCCTGCATTATGCCACATTTGAGATTTGTACGTTTCACTTTCAGTTTCAATCAGATCCCTCTTCTGACATATCAGTGTGATCCGTATCATCAATAACAGCATTTACCTAAGAAACGGCTTGAAATCACATAATTGGTAATTGTTTAAAGGAGGATAATATTCTGTCAGAGCTAGCTAAGACAAGTCTCCTGAGGGATTACTCACTACTATTGGCATACAACACAATAATGTCAGTGTACAGAGAACACAAACATTCACCTGTAACAGTGCTACTTCAACTACTTTGTGATGCAGTTACAGTCCCCTAATACACCTTCCAGCTAGTTTAAAGAAAGTTAGATTTCAAATTTCTTCTTATTCAGTTTAGCCCTTTCGGTCACAAAATTTACACACTTCCAAGAAAACTCGCACATTTTGTGAACTTTGACACGGTAAGCGGGCGCATTATCTTACCCACGCATCCTCAGAAGTGGTCAGTCAGCACTTGGATGTGGCGGTCAGAGCTTTGATGTTGCTTTCACCTACCCTTTTACCCGTTTAAAAAAGCAAAAACGTCCGGATTGAGTGATGCATATCATAAATGTCTGAGCAGGCTGAAAGGCAGGAACAGAGGCTGTGCGTAGGTCTAGCTGTAAAACGGCAGAAAGAAAGATCGCCACAACGCGCGTGCGCGGGATGAAAGGGGTGTGTCATTTTTGGCAGAAATACGCATGCGTGCAAGAATAGCCCTTTGCAGCAGCAAGCACGTACGTAAACGTACACGTACGTAGCAAGAGTCAAGATAACTAGGAATGCGCACGCGCATATTTTGCCTCGCGCCTGTCAGCCAATGTCCGATTGAGGCCGCTCGTGCGCGCGCTCTAGCTCTACTGACTGCGCGCGAAGCCAGACTTCCTACGAATCTACGCGCACGGCGGAAGCTAGACTTCCTACGAATTACGGAAGTTACACTTCCTTTTTGTGACTAATTGACATTCCTAAGCGTGACTAATTGACGACGTACGTACGTACGTATAATTATAAGCTTACGCGAATACAACCCGGAGTTGCCGAGCGCATTTTTAATCACGCGTGACGTCATTGCCGGTTGCGCATCGCAACCGCCCGTCTCGCGAGGCGCGCGCAGTACCGCATTTAATAGGAATGCTCACGCGCATATTTTGCCTCGCAATGTCCGACTGAGGCCGCTCGTGCGCGCGCTCTACTGACTGCGCGCACGGCGGAAGCTAGACTTCCTACCAATTACGGAAGTTACACTTCCTTTGGTGACTAATTGACATTCCTAAACGTGACTAATTGACGCCGTACGTACGTACGCATATCGCAGTTGCCTCACGCTAACACGCTCGGCAATAACGGAATGTTGAACATTCTTGGCGAGCGGGAGCGACCCAACTTGGGATTTGCCCGGGCTGTATAACGTGCCGTCAGCGCACAGCTTTCCTTTCGTGAAGCAAGACAGATCTACCTGTCGCCGTTATATGCGTATTGTACATTGGCAGAACGGTGAGCAGGTGAGCAGACGGTACTTACCTTATGCTTTCAAGTCGTCAGTCGTGGTCCACCAGGCAGCAGGCATGCAGGAGTACGTGCACGAGCAATCCTAGGCGTATTTGCAAGTAACCATGAAGATTGGGAAGTCAAGAGGTACAGCCTTGGTCAGTCACCGAAGGTTGCAGCGCATGCCGTCGAATGGAGGTCCAGTAGCTGGCTAGATCGTCGATCGGCGAGGCACCGTGTGTGAAAATGCGTAAATAAAAAGAAGCGCGTACAAAGCCGCGCATGCGCACTTACACGACGTACGAAAGAGAAATTCCGCCCGAACAACTACATAGGTTGGCTCGCTCCCGCTCGCATATTTAGAGAGCGCAAGCTAATATTGAAATCTCTAGCGTCTCTGCCGGTCTTTGTCCGAAGCCGAAACGACGAACGGTCGAGGAGTTACACCTACAAGGCACTAGTTTGCCATTATGACTTGGGGTGACAGACCTACTCTCTCCCCTTTCTCTCATTCGTTTAGCTCTTGGCCCTTTCTTTCTTTGAGAAGCAAAGCGCTTGCCTAGAGTAATGCTCGGTTCTTTGCTGCAGTCTCCATCTGGAAAGTGTCGACAACAAACTCTCCTTGACAACTTCCTCACAAATACCGAACACTTCCAGCCACCGCGCTCTCTTTCTGTATCTTTTGGCATCCAGTGAAATGTTACATTCGGATCTTTTGCCTTGGTGTTGCCACAAACCACGCATGTGTGACCTTCACACGAGTGTAACTCCTCGACCGTTCGTCGTTTCGGCTTCGGACAAAGACCGACAGAGACGCTAGGGATTTCAATATTAGCTTGCGCTCTCTAAATATGAATATACGGTATATCTATACTTACTGTCCACCAGGATCGAGCAACCGGCAATGACGTCACGCGTGAAATTCTTTGCCTAACGCGCGCGTAACTGAAAGAGCGTGTATGGTATTGAGATGAAACTTTGCTGCACAAAGTTTGGAATCCGTGACCCGGCAAGCAACAGCATTTTAATTTGTTTGTACACAATGTTGTTTACATGTATTAACAACAAAAAACAGCTCCATGCCATACATTATGATAAAGTGTGCTAATTACCAACACCCAGAATGATTTGTACACATATGCAACCCGTCAAAGGTATTCATGTAAATATTACAAGTTTGTAAACAACAACAAACAGCCTCAGGCAAAACTTGTAAACTATATTATTGCTTGCTTTTTGTGGGTCCTCTAACAATGAAACTTGGTACACTGATGTACCATGATAGAAGTTCATCGAAAATTGAAGTTATAACAACAACAAAGAGCCTCTGGCAATAAAAACTTGCAAATGATGTTTGTGCCTATAACTTGCTTATTGTGGGTCCTCTAACAATGAAATTTGGTTCACTGATTAACCACGATAAGAGTTGAAAAATGAAAAGCACTCAAGTGCAAACCCTCGGCGCATTGTGACGCGCACGCGTGAGTAAACGCATGCGCTGTATCACTAATCGATGGGCTGGGTTTAGTTTTAGCTGTTACCCGTGGTCTCTTGCCAGCTCGCCCAGAGTCTGACGCGGGCTAACTACACTACTAGATAGCATGCGAGAGGCGATACACGCCCTGCGTTGCATCTTCTGGTGCCTTCGAGGTACGCAGAGCACGCGGATCGATCAGACCGCGGTAAGCCTTCCAGTCCGTTGAGCATTTTAAGAGAAAACCCTACATATTTTCTGACCTTCGTCGCCCGTTGGGTAGATGGTATCGTTTCTGGGACGAACAGACATTCGAGAGGTGAGATGTAGAGTAACAGACAGACACACGGACGACGGACGGCAAGTACTGTAACCCTCTCTGTGCATGCGCGCCGAGGGTTAACAACAACAAACAGCCTCAGCCAGCCAGAGGCAAAGCGTGTCTGCTGCTCCACCACTATCATGAGCATGCGCCCAGATTGAGAAGGCGTGGCTCTGCGAGGCTGTGTGTACGTACGTACGTATATACGTGTGTATGTACACGTGTGCGTGTCCTCGCGCCAACTAGCTGAGGGTATGGTTTTGGACCTAGTTCTCTTTCGCGCTGACCAAGGCGGTGATCCAGAAAATATTAAGGAGCTCCAGAAAAAGCGTTTCAAGGACGCTTCTCTCGTCGACAAAGTGGTTGAAGCAGACTCAAAATGGAGGAAGCGTATGTAGGACTTTGTCAAATAAACATCTTGAGATAACTAGAAATGGTCCTGCAGTCTTCTGTTGATAAATAACACAACTATTGTTTCAGGATCGGCTTGTGCGGGTTCTAAAGTCTATGTCTATAGCTGTGTGTGTCTGGGCAGTGTGGCCCTACGATTTTGAGGTATTGGTATATTCGGAGTGGAAAGGTGGTAGCCTCCTCCCCCATCCTTGTAATCTGTCTTCAGTAATACTCATCGACCATAATGACAGTATAATAGGTATGCCTTTAGCATTCTGTGGCAATACCTTGACACAATCTTAGGATCAAGTGTAGAGAACGGACCCAGCGCGTGACGACTTCCAGAAGCCGCACAAGACTGCGCCCCTACGCACAAGTGATCATCAGAGCCGGACCTGGTCTAGCATGCTTGCTGCCCGGATGGATCATGATCGGAGTCGGACCTTGTCTAGGGTAGGGCTAGACACATTACAAGGATGGGGGAGTAGGCTACCACCTTTCCACTCCGAATATACCAATACATCAAAATCGTAGGACCACACTGCCCAGACACACACAGCTATAGACATAGACTTTATAACCCGCACAAGCCGATCCTGAAACAATATTTATCAACAGAAGACTGCAGGACCATTTCTAGTTATTTCAAGATGCTTATTTGACAAGCTGGCATGACGACTTGTGCGTGGGGGCGTGGTCACTTGTGCGGCTTCTGGAAGTCGTTGCACACTGGGTCCGTTCTCTACACTCTTATTCTGCCCCCTAGCTTGTTGTGATCCCAGATCCCACTCACATACAACCACACTGAGCAACACCAATATGTGCACCACAAATATGTATACCAGAAGCCGTAGCAAATTATATGGCCTCTAATTTCCCATTTTGCATTAGGCATGCAACATGGTATATACTATGCAATTGTGCTTGCTTTGTAACGCATTTAGTCTTGCTCAAACCATATTCTAAGTTTTTTTTGCGGTCTGCACGCATGCATGGCCTACCACACCATTTTCATTGTTCGTGTGCACGTGGGAACACACGTAAAGGCTACTCCTCTTTGCAGTTCGGTTTCAGACAGACAATTGGAACAAATACAGAAATATGTGTGCAAAGGAAATTGGCTCCAAAATGAAGCGAAAAGAACCGATTGGGGATGGTGATACTATCTCACAAGAGATAATGGATAAGCTCCAAGCTCAAGCACTCACATCAGAGGATTTGAAAGTGAGTAACAAATTGTATTTTATACTCTTCCAATGCAATATCTGCAGGCACTGACGGTGAAGCAGATAAAGAAATTGCAAACTGAAGTTGACAAATTGAACCAAAGTTGCACAGCTCAGTTGAAGGAATGTGAATTACAGAGACATGCTTATCTCACCCAGATTGGTAACATTCTCCACCCTTCAGTTCCGATCAGTGCCACTGAGGTATGTAGTTTTGTACCAGCTGCTCCACCTAACATTGCTTCTTGAAGTAAAAATTCAAGTGTATCTGAACTGCTCTACTGTGTGTTCCATAAAATGCCTTTTGCATTTTTTTAATTGGTATAGCTATATATTCTGCGATCTGATTTCAAGGTTTACAGACCATGAACTATGCCAATACCAGGCCCCTGTTCCACGTGATGAGTGGTGTGAGGTTGTGACTATTTGGTTATTCACATTATACTCTATTATCAGGTTTATTAGTTTTGGCGCATGCACATTGTATTTTACTTTTTCTACCAAATTGCAAAAGTGTTTTCTCCTGAGTTTCCCTCTGCACATAACTACTCCTCTCTCTCTCTCCAAGAAATTAACTTTCTATGAAATTTTATAATGCTGTGTAACACTGTGGAAAATTGTGATGTCACTGAAAAAGTTTTGCTCAGCAAAGCAGTTGAAAGAGATAATGTCCCTCAGGCTGTATTAGTTTTCTCTTACCCTTGCCTCTTACTGTGCTTCTTGACTTCTTCCTGATGAAAGAGTGAGCATATTGGTGTTGGAAGAAGCGAACAAGCCCAGCAAATAACCGGTAGTTTTTGGAGAAGAACAGCAATGCACAAAGGGAATTTTTGTAGCCAGGTTCTACCACTATCAACCAGCCTGAGTTAAACAAATTAATATCCAGTGGTATTTTATTTGCTCACTGTTGGCCCATTTAATTTTTATAGTGTGTTTCTTAACCCCAAGTGTGGACGTGCAGGGAGAGTTATAGTATTATAGTATTATGGTCTGTGTATGGTGTCGGTGTGTGTAGTTTGTCCCAAGACCACCCTCCAACTGGGGAAAAGGTGGTCTGGTACTGCAGGCTACGAAGTGGCCTATGAGCGATACCAAAACTATACAATTTATTTTCCTAAAATAACTGTGTTTAAGTGTGAAAAACAAGCAAAAAGACCAATAATATATTATGCACAATGCACTTGCTTACCGTCAGCACACAATGGAGGGGGAATTACTCGGGATATGTGTAACCAGTTAAGCATTTCTCATAACACTACCCACTGATGCAGTTAGCCTATAGGAACTGTGTACGTTGACAGGTTAGACCGGGTGGCAGGGCCCAGGTCGTTTATGCATTGACATTAACAACATGTGTGCATGTTTTTTGGGCTGAGGGTAAGAGTGCTTTTCAGTGTTGCATTAAAGTATAATTTTTATGTTGAAGGATGATAATACAGTGGAAAGAACATCTGGAGATTGCTCTACTCGGAAGCGGTATTCTCACATAGATTTACTGCATATGATTGATGCAGTTGAGATGCAGAAGGCAACAGTTGCTGCTGGAAATAGATGTTACTACCTAAAGGTGAATCCAAAGTAACAGACTCTGTGTAGACTACGCCAAGATTCCATGTCATCACGTTTAGACTACGACATGCCACAATGTAATGAAAATGATGCCTGCAGCTGTCTAGTAATGTAAGCTGCATACGGCATCCAATTTTCAAAAGGAGAATACGTTAGTTAGACAGCAAGTCCAATAAATCTACGTGCATCAGTCCAAGGGCCCTTGGATTCCTAGTGCTGCGAGGGTGCTAAATATAGGGCCCAAAGGCATGTATGCACTTGGGATTGGTAGTCGAGCTGCTCTTTAGAGCAAGGCACACCTGATTTTCATGCATGTGTCAACAACTAGCACATATAGCGAGGTAGAAAGCAACTACACCCAGAACAACTCTTTCAAAAGAAGAAGAGCGGCACTGGGTGGGATTCGAACCAACGACACTCTGCTTTCTAGGCGAGTGTTCTACAAACTGAGCTACCAGGGCAACAACGCACAGGTAGCTGAGATTGTGACACCGAAGGAACTTCAAATCACGATGCATGAATTCTACAAATTAAAGTATACTCATGTATGTAATCCATATAATTTTAGACAGTTTTAGCAGATCTTCACGTTTGCTGTCCACTTGCAAATGAAGGGGTCAGAGTGGGCTAACCCTCAACATACAACTCTTGCCGTTTTTCCTTCAAATATGTTCTAAATGTCCTTATAGAACAAAAGCTGGCAAGAGTTGTATATTGAGGGTTGGCCCACTCTGGCTCTGACCTCTTCAAATATTCCTGTATCCATTTCTGCTTCATCTGAGCAGCACTCAAGGCAGGAACGCACGTCTTGTGTGTGTGAAATACATTACCTGTTGTATTCTGTAGGGTGTTGGAGTCTTCCTGGAGCAAGCACTGATTCAGTGTGCCATGAGGATGCTACATGCCAAAGGTTACACTCCAATATATACTCCGTTTTTCATGAAGAAGGAAGTTATGCAGGAGGTTGCTCAACTCAGTGATTTCGATGAGATGTTGTACAAGGTATGTATAATTAACCCTCGGCGCGCATGGTCTGTGTGTGTGTCTGTCCGCGACTATTCTCGCACTACAGGCTACGAGGCTGCGTATGAGCGATACCAACAGCTTTAGCGGTACATGGGCTAGAAAAATATAATGGCGATTTTGCTGAAACGACTGAGTTCGAGAGCGACAAACTGGCACGGTCCCGAACAGCGTTGCGTCGCCCAACCCATCAATAAGCGGTGCGCATGCGTGTATTAGACGCAGTATGCTGGCTCACCTCTACCTGATCCGCTTGCTCTGTGTACATTGGAGGCACAAGAAGCCACAGCGAAGGGTGTGTATCGACTCCCACATGCTATCTACTACTGTAGCTTGCCCGTGTCAGACTCTCTGCGAGCTACTAGCGGGAGACCGCGAGTAAAACGCCCAGCCCAGCCCACCGCGCATGCGCAGTTCGCCGAGGGTTTGCACTTTAGTGCTTTTCATTATAGTAGTTTGTTAATTGCATTGTGATATTTGTTAGTAAAAATCATTCACTATAGCTCTCAGTTGTTATAGAAGAGCCACCCTGTTATCTGTGATTTTTCAGTTTTGTGGTGTGGCCTCGTGAGATTTACTCAGTGCCTTTCTCACACTTTTCAACAGCATAATATACACAACGATTGGATAATAACGGGGAATATCAACCGTATAAACCTTCGTTATCAAAAAGCTATGAGTCAGGAATTTTCTTGTGATTCATGTGTGTGGTAGCGAAATTCGCAGGCCACTAGTATTTTTTATGCCAACTGTGCGTGTGCACTGGTTTATTTTCTGTGTTCGATCTCAATGGTGTATAAACTAGTGCAGTGCAAGCCATAAGGACAGAAATTTAAACAGAAGCCGCAGAAGTATTTGCACCCACTCTACTCTGATTATTATTAATGGCTTGGCAGTGCTTGTACCAAGTGGAAATATAATTAACCCTTGGCGCGCATGCGCAGCGAGGGTTACGGTACTTGGTTCGTGAGTGTGTGTGTGTGAGTGATGTGTCTGTCCGTTCGTCTGTTACCACGTTTTCTGCGACTACGCGCAACGAGACAACGAAATAGCGACACGAACAGGTTCATCGCTACACTGGCCTCATTTTTAAAAAGGCGATTTTGATATAACTTCTGCGTTCAAAAGTTATGGCCTGAAAGGCAAGTGAACAAGCCTATCCTCGACCGCATCCGCTCGCTCTGTGTGTCTTGAAGGCACAAGAAGTCACAATGAAGGGCGTGTATCGACTCTATCTACGACTGTAGCTAGCCAGTGTTAGACTCTCCGCGAGCTACTAGCGGGATACCACGAGTAAACACATAAAAATAGCCCAGCCCATCAATTAGCAGTATCGCGCCAGCACAGTTCGCCGAGGGTTTGCACGTTAGTGCTTTTCATTTTTATGGTCCTTAGGTTAGCCAGTTGTAACATTGGCAGCATTTGGGACTTAGCACTCTGGAATAGGTATATACTTCCCCATGGTGCAAATTGGATATATTGTCCAGGGTCACAAGGGTTGTGGTTAGCCCTTGTATCTGCCTTGGCAAGAAGTCACAGTCCAAAGTTTCCCTAACAGACTGAAGGGCAGTAAACAATGGAGAAACCCATGTATGTTTTAATGGGACTGTGAAGATGAATGCAAGCCCTAAGCAAGGGCAGCTCCACTATGTGCCATGGACCATCCAAGAAGCCAACAGTCAAAGCTAATAAATTATTTGGCTGAGTAAATCATAAAGCGACCACCACATTTGGTTATGCAAATGCATGCAGATCTATTCCCTGAAATCTTAGTACTGTGGTCCACGTTGTATGTAGAATTGCAAATTTACCCTTATTGTGTGATTGTGAATTCTTTGCCCCAATGTACTGATGCACCTGACCACCTGACCTCTAATGGAGTAAATTCTAAAATGTGTTCTGTAGTGGAACGGTATCAACACTGCAGTCTTCATCAGTGCACTTTTTTGAATGTAAATTTACTGTTGTTGTTGCCACAATTCTTGCCCTCTCCGTGTGTCTATCTCTGCAGGTCATCAGTAAGAGCAGTGAAGAGGTGGGAGATGCGTCTACAGAGGAGAAATATCTCATTGCAACAAGTGAACAGCCACTATGTGCCTTGCATAGGTAATAGAGTCTACAGGGTTATATATATCTTGAAATAGTTAAACAGCCTGGTAACTAGCTAGCATTGTAACTGCTTTTAGAAGGAATTTGTGTTGTTATAATTGTGTTGTATTTCCTATTGGGGGTTTACCTCATCCTTGCACAGTACAATGGTGTTCAATAACTATATAGGAAGCTGTACACTACCTTAAAAAGAAAAAGACCCACCAACATTAGACAAAACAACTACAGTAAATTTCACTAGTGGCATGAAAAAATTGGTGGAGAAACTAACTACTAACATTCAACAGGATAGCCACTGCATGTGTAAATGAAAAGCACTAAAGTGCATAACCCTCGGCAAGCTGCACATGCGCGATACCGCTATTTGTTGGGCTGTACTATTAGTATGCGTTTACTCATGGTTTCCGCCTGGTAGCTCGTGGAGAGTCTGGCTATGGTAGTAGATAGTATGCAAGAATCGATACACGCCCTCTGTTGTGAATTCATGTGCCTCCAAGGTACATAGAGCAAGCGGACCCGGTCGAGGTAAGCCTGTGCAAATTTGCATATTGGCTTGTTCACTTGCTTTTCACGCCATAACTTCTGAACGCAGTAGTTATACGAAAATCGCCTTTTTAAAAATGAACCCAGTGTAGTGATGGTATCGCTGTTTTTACGTCTCGTGCGTAGTCGCAGAAAACGTGGTAACAGACAGACAGATGGACACATTCATGAACCAAGTATGTAACCCTCGCTGTGCGAGGGTTAATTACAAGTTAAAAAAGGGAAAGGCACAACAAACAAGTCAACAACATCTAGGACAGCTCTTTTTCCTTGGAAAAAGAGCTGTCCTGGGTGTAGTTAATGTTAGAGAGTTTTAGCTTTCAAGGATTTTGCCAATCTTGCATAGTTAATTACCAGCAGTAGCACTGGATAGCAGTTACATTGGATCGAGTATGCTGCAAAACATTTACCCCTAGGAGTTTGCCGTTGCATAGATGAAATAAGTTTAAGTTGACCCTGTTTGTTTTCTAATATGAGAGATGAGTGGATGGAGCCAAAAGAGCTTCCGAAACGTTACATTGGATTCTCCACCTGTTTCCGTCAGGAAGTGGGTTCACATGGTAGAGATACCAGGGGGATTTTTAGAGTTCATCAGTTTGAGAAGGTATGTATTGTTTATGCATATGTACCTGTTCATTCTGGAGTAATCATGCCCACGTTAACATAAAATCTGAGGTTGAGGCATTGTAATTTTTCACTTTTTTAGGTCGAACAATTTTGCATAACAAGTCCGCATGATGGTGAATCTTGGAGGGTGTTTGATGAAATGATAGCTAATGCAGAAGAATTTTACCAGGCTCTTGGAATTCCATATCGCATTGTTAACATCGTCTCAGGTAAAAAAATATTGGTATGTTAAAACTCCAATTTTTTATGCTTCCATGGCAAGCGACAAGAAATGACAATAAATGCATCATTAATTGGCGAGCGAAGAGAACCTATGTACCTAGTCATATTGATGTTTATATTTTTTATTGGGTTTTTGTGAGATGGGCACTGCACATACCGTGATGTTCTAAAATGATTTATAAAATTGCTACTTGGGTTTCGCGTGCGAAAAATTGAATTACTCGTGTTTGCGTGCCAATTGTGTGTTGCATTCGTTTATGTATGAGTTCGAGTCTCGTTCCTTTTCTTCGGGAAAAAATTTGCATTTAAAAAAAGTAGTGCAAGTGTGTTGTATCTGCTGTACGGTGGTAGGTTGACAAATTGTTTGTTGTTACATATTCCTGTTCCATCATGTCAGCCACATGAACATGGTACAGGGTACGAAGTAGTTTTTGAGAACGAACCATTATTAAAAGTAAAGTCATAAAGTGCAATTGCAACAAAAATTTGATTGCCACATGGTGTAAAGCCTTTGAACTCAGTCATTTATGTTGCGTTATATACTGTAGTACGTGTGCAAATGAATTGTGCGTGGGCGATCTCGAATAAGCATCACACAATCATAGATGTTGATTAGACTCTTACACCACAACTATTTTATGCTGCCTTTATAAGAAAGCACTTCCAGAGGAGAGGTCAAACACCCACTGTTTCTGTACAACCACAGAACCTCGCCTAGCTACAAGCCCTGTTTCTGGAGTGCTCATAGCTTCTGGAGCCACACGGAAGGGCTGTCATTTGACAGTGTATGCTATGTAGTTTGGCTGGGCTGAACCTAGAATCATCCTCCTTGGGCTTCCCCCTTTTCACGGAGATAACCAACACAATTTTCCCTTGCAATACGAATGTGTACTATAGCCCCGTCTTAACTTGGTTCTAAATGTAGACACAAGGCAAGTGCAAGTTGGTGTACATCAGTCCATTGTGTATAATTATTGCCGATCTGGCTGAATCAGCTAGCAAGCTAGCTAAAATGGAAGAGAGTAGTTAGGCATTGCTGGACTGTGCCGAGGGTTAACTTTATGGATGCGTAAGTACGTAGCTGCAGGAATATTCATTCAAAGCAGGAACATAATTATCCATCCAACTTTTCGATTCCATAGACGCCCAATTAAAGTATGACATAAACAAGCATTTCCTATTTTTTAACAGCACCGTTAACAGTTCTATAGAAGTAGGACTATAAACAATGACCACAGGTTTTAATGTTTCGTAGGTGAACTGAACAATGCTGCTGCAAAGAAGCTGGATTTGGAAGCATGGTTCCCAGGATCTGGTGCCTTTCGTGAACTGGTATCATGTTCAAACTGTACCGACTACCAATCTAGGCGACTGCAAATTCGCTTTGGACAGACCAAGAAGATGAATGCACAAGTGAGTAGGAGATACATTGCATTGCGGTCGGGAGTTTTTTGTTTGATGTGTATGCCTACACACCAACAATTTGCATCAAAAACTGTAGTTATGCAAGTTGATGTTAGAGACTGATCTTACAAGTAGTATGGTTCTCCACCCTGAACATGTCATTAAACATACAATACCTTCTGCATGCATAGAGTTTCTTATTATGTAGTGCTGTGGGCTGCCTAATGTCAGGAGTTGGCAAAAAATAATTTCTGCTGAACAATAGTGCTAATCAACTTCAGGGCCCAGGCCCAGCTGAAGTCAAATAGACTTTAGTTACAAACCTTACTCTTATCACATACAAAGATTGAGGTATGGATGCTGGGTGGAGGGCACATAAAGGATGGTAATGTTACTAAATAATTATGCTGAGCCATTCTGGTTGGTACGCTGGAATTACCGTACTGAATAGTGTGGCGCATGCAAGACGATGTGGATGCAGATGGAATGTTGAGTTTTCTGAAGACACTCCATGTCAATTGCGTTAATTTACGCTGACTTTGTTAACATTCATTTACAATGCACAGTAATGCCGAACCTGTTGAATCCTGGTTTCCCCCTGAACCTTTAGGATTTAAAATAGCCCACAGCCATACAGTTTAAAATATGCATTGCAGAGTTACACTGTGGGCGTGTGACTATTAACTCTCACCGACCGAATGCTGTTCACACACAGCAATCTCGAAGGCAATGAACCCAACACGTAGATTTGTAGTTATTCTCAGCAATAAAGGATTCTACAGCTGGTTTTTTATTTGGCAGTCTCCACCTCCCTTGGGCAGTAAGTGTCAAGTTTCTTGGCTGTTCTTCTTGGGTGGTTACCTGGCACTAGGGTCCGCCTCATCTGATAATATGCCGTGGAATACATGTATGGTTATTCACATACGTACCTCTTTTCCCCTTGTAGATTGAACCTGTTCACATGTTGAATGCAACAATGTGTGCTATCACTCGTACTATCTGTGCTATTGTTGAGAACTACCAGACAGACGAAGGCATCAGCATTCCAACCGCCCTAAAGAATTTTATGCCCCCTGGATTAGACGATTTCGTTAAATTTGTTAAATCAGCTCCCCCTATTGAATCCTCAACAAAGAAACAAAAGAAGCAAACTTCAGGGTGATAGCAGTAGACAACTCATTAAAATCATCATGTATCATGTTCAGTATGCCGAATGATATGGTTTTGACACTTGGCATCTTCAAAAGAGAGAAGTACTATAGAACAGACTGCAGTGAGTATACATGTGCAAAAATTACAAGACATTCTGCACAGATGCTACTTTTGCGGGCAGCTAGGAACAATAGAGCATGAGGAGTGAACAACCAGCTATAGGTAAAAGGGCCACCTGACCATGCAGTAAAGCTGCATGCTTTAATTAACATAGCTGTGACTTGTGTACCGTACTGCTTTTCAAAGGTGAACCGGTGAAACCATAATTAATGTTAGGCAGGCTGCAGCTGGAGTACCTTGAAGAGCATAAACTATTATTTCTGATGGGCTGTCTATGTGTCAGTAATTAAGACCTAACAGAATACTTCATTATTGTAAAGGATGCTGGAGGCGAGAACAGTGAGATAGGTACTTAGGGACCTTCATTTCAGATTTCAGACCGACCTGGTAAAGCTCATGCTATAGCACGGCAAGGCAAGCATTTTGTGCTCAGATGTAGTCCTCAAAAACATGATCCTCAAACAGGGCTTTTATGTAAAAGAATCAAAAAGTGCAAGAAGTAGGTGTTTGTTATTAGTGTACCGAAGTCGAAGCTACTAACAGTCTGACAAAAATGTTTGACTTTACTGCAGAGATGGTTCTGCTGGAAATGGTAGACCTCACATTTGTACTTCTTTTTAGCCTGTTCAGTACCAACTACCCTCAAAAGAGTAAAGAACGTCCTGGGCTTTCCTCCAGGAGGTTTGATAATCATACAAAAATACTGTGAATGGAGATGGGAGAGCAAGTGGACCAGGTTAAAGGCGGGAATTCCAGATAAACAAGTCAAACGGAAACACCACAAAGACATCAGAAAATACCCCTTGGTACACATGTGTATTTGTACATATCACACATCTACAGTGGTGGTAGCAAATGTTTTGTTTATAAAGGCCACTGACTCATACGTACATGCTACTACGTACATCTATCCTTCATCAGAAGTGCTACAAATCATGTATGTATTACAATAACTGTTCAAACCAACAGTTTGGTGTAGAATGAGCACAGGTTAACAAAGAACTTAAGCTACCTATAATAGTGCTTTATATGACGAAATTAAAACAGTGTGATGGAGGAAATTTGGTTACATGGTGTGCATTTGATGTTATTGTAACATTGTTATGTCCAAATGATTTCTGTGGTTGTGGTGTTCAGTGCTTCCAACATACTCTCAAGTCCAGTTTCAGCAACTAACCAATAAAGAAATTGCCATAATATTATTAATTTACTAGGAATGCGCACGCGCATATTTTGCCTCGCGCCTGCCAGGCAATGCATAAACAGTCCGACTGAGGCTGCTCATGCGCGCACTCTACTGACTGCATGCGAAGCCAGACTTCCTACGAATCTGCGCACACGGCGGAAGCTAGACTTCCTACGAATGACGGAAGTTGACATTCCTAAGCGTGACTAATTGACATTCTTAAGTGTGACCGACACGTACGTACGCATATCGCGAGAATACAACCCGGAGTAGTTGCCTCATGCTAACGCGCTCGGCAATGAAGAAAACATAGGATATAAACATCAGAAAAAGGACATGTAATAGACCATGATAAAGAGAAATTTATTACATGCTACTACATCTATCCTCCAGAAGAAGAGCTACAAATCATGTATGTATTATACTGTTGAAAGATATAAAACAGCTACCTAGAATAGTGCTTTATCTCTTTCAGTCACGAATTCGGCTTTTGCGAACAATCGGGGGTTTTTCAGCTACTCTCCTGCATGCATGCGTCATTCTTCCCAAATCGACACACCCCTTTCATGCCGCGCACAGGCGCTGTGGCGATCTTTCTTCCTGCTGTTTTACAGACCTACTTCAGCCAGCTGAGACATTTATGGCATAATTCACTCAATACGTACCTTTCTGCTTTTTTTTTAGAGCACTGAAAGGGCAGATGAAAGGAACACCAAAGCTCCAACCGCCACATCCAAGTGCCGACTGATGCCTTCTGAGGATGCGTGGGTGGTTTTAACGAGATAATGCTGCAATGCTGCCCATCTACCGGGTCAAAGTTCACAATTTTGCGAGTTTTGTTGACGTTTCTAGAAGTGTGTAAATTTTTTTGACAGAAAGGGTTATATGTGACGAAAAGAGAATGGACCACTGCAGTAGTTTGCTCCTGTTTAACAATTAATTGCTGGAAATGACCAGGAATCAAACTCATATCTTATGTATCAAAGCTGTACATAACTTCATGAACAAAGTATATGACCTTATGCTGCATTCCACGTATCATGCTAAGAGGGTTACACTTTTAGGTTAATCACTTGTCATTACATGTTACTGCAATCTTGCTGTTCTATCATCTTCCTGTATATACATTGCATTGGTGGCAGTCTGTAGGCCGAAAATAATGTGCAAGGAATGCTGTATGTGTGTGGGTACTCAATGCCCTGCGCAAAACAGTACAGTGTTATTATATACACTAAATCACCGTTAAGTTTAGATGTATCCAGTGGCACCACAGGCAGTAAAAGATCCTTTAATGTATTTGGTGCAACTTTTTTTCGTACCTACAAAAGAACATGAAGAATATCAGCAGTGAGGCAGCAGGTTTTTCCCTTAGTACATTACTACATTATAGAACAGAAGGAAATATATTGAGGCCATGTGGTGTTGTCTCTTTAGCATACTAACAAGAATTGTTTTCTATAGGAATTTGTTCCGGACACGTAAGTCGCAAACAACATCTACAAATTAAGTGCAGCAATTGTTTCTGCATGTTTTAAGGTTGGTCATAACTAAAACTTAACTCCGTTTTGCTTATATGTTGCATAGACTTAATACACAAGTGACCAGAGAACATGCAGAAACTAGCTGTCGGTGGCAGCGCTTATACGCTTACACCACCCTATTACAGCTTATACCGATCCTGAAAGATGCGTTCTTACCCTAACCTTAAGATGTTCAGCTGTGGATACCGAAAATGAAAAGCACTACCAAGTGCAAACACTCACTGCATTGCGCATCTGTGGCACCGCTAATTGTTTGGCTGGGCTATGAGTATGTGTTAACGTATGGTCCCTCACTACTATATAGCTCATGGAGAGTCTGGAACAGGATCGCTTTACCAGTGGAGAGCATGCGGGAGTTGATATACGCCCTTTGTTGTGACTTCTAGTGCCTCCAAGGTAAATAGAGCGAGCAATCAGTTTGAGGTAAGCCAGGGTGATAATGCATATTGGCTTCTTCGCTTGTTTTTACACCATAACTCCTGAACGCAGAGGGTTAATCAAAAAGAGCTAGCTACCTATTGCAAGGTTGGCAACGGGCCTCTAAATTATGGTTACTGCTCCTGTGTCAAGTCGTCCACCGTGATTTGTTTGTCTTTGTCTTGCTACCTCACATTTGTTGATACATGCATACACTTAGCTTGGAGTTGGGCGTCTTTGGTGATTTAATTACCCCGGTCTGCTACTAGTTGTTTAAGGTTTGCCTTTGTCTTGTATGGTGTTGAAGATTTGAACCCCTACCAGTTGAGTTGCCCTGGTAGCTCAGTTGGTAGAGCACTCGCCTAGACTGCAGTGTTGTGGGTTTGAATCACACCTAGGGCTGTTGCGTGCGGGTTCTAGGTCTAGGATTACCGTAGAAGCGCGGATATAGATAGAGCTCACATTGAGCGTCTTCCCAGATCTCGAGTGTCCAGTAACCTAATTATTCACACACGTGACCCTACACCAATGTATGCATGCACACATGATAGTGATACAAGTATAAGATTATGCATACACCACAGGGTACGTAGGTCATCTTTTTTCGTTGGAAAAAACGAGCTGTCCTAGGTGTAGTTGATTTGTTTGCCTGTTTCTTGCTACCTCACGTTTGTTGACACATGTAACAATAGACCATCTGATGCCAAGAAAATGCACATGCACTGTATTATACGGCAGCTAGGTCTTCCATAGTAAAATAAGAAAGGGTCTGGTAGTTGGAGCACGTATGCCTCCCAGAAAGAAAAAACTGCCCCTGCCTCCAAGTCATCAAAGACTGTTACAGCTACTGCCTCTGTGTCATCTAAGACGTCTGCCGAAACATGTTGCGTCTGTTGCCAGAGCCTCAACCCCGCTAAAGATGAAGCACTGTTTTGTGCTGGTTCTTGTCAGCAATGGGCTCATTGCTACTGTGCAGGAGTCGGCGTGATGGCCTACAAAGTTATCAGAGAGAAATGCCATCAGTTCCGTTGTTTGGCGTGCCACCACATTTTGCATGATGATATTACAGAACTGTGGAACCTTTCAAGGACACGTTCGAGGCAACTAGAAAGTTAACATAGTGATTTTTGGCATTGAGGAATGTTTCCAGGGCGCATAATGGCCTGAAAGGCTTGCATTTGATCTTTTTGTCAACAATGTCGAATATGGCACCTATTATCAATCTGTGTTTGTGCTCTCTAGGAACAGACCTGTCCAGAACACACCTGTCAATGGTCATCCTAACAACCTCGGCTGTCAAACCTTGTACAAACCAACATCCTTAACATCCCACTCTGTATCACCTGTACCTGTAGATGCTGATTATACGCTTCATTCTACTCCCTTTTATTTGTCGCCCAGTACTGATAGCGTCCCTGCAACTCCTTCCACGGAGAAATCAAACCAACCCTCCCACAACCAATGACAAACATCTGATGTGAATGTCTCAACAACTTGGTAGCAAGGTAGAAAGGCAAGGCAAGGAAACAAGTCAACTACACCCAGGACAGCTCTTTCTTTTCAAAGAAAAGAAGAGTTGCCCTGGGTGGGATTCGAACCCATGACACTCTGCAGTCTAGTAGTGACTTGTTTGTGGTGCCTAGACTGCAGACATCCGAATGCAAAGACGGACTAGGATAAGTGCCTTTGTGATGCTCAGAACCATCAGAACACTGCAGGGGCTGTATATTATGTAGCTTACTCTTCCTCCTGGCTAATGTTCTGGAGATGGCATTGGATCATGGTCCTCCGTGGACTGTCTCTCCACAAGCACCATTTTCGGTGCTAACTAGGCCACCATGCAGATCAAAACCTTGCCATTGCTGCGATATCGACCGTTTGTGTTGAACCACTTCATCTCCTCTCATTCTAAGATTGGGTTCATCCCTGCCACTATTGTACGTCAACTGGCTGATGGACTGGTATGTATGCTTTCACGCTCGCCAATTCTTGTGCACAATCTAACCCTCGTGTTATTATTTTTTCTTGTTTTCTTTCTGTGCCCAATCGGATTCCATTGTGGTGCCCTATTGTCTTCCATCACAACATTACTTTGTGTGTACTTTGTGTGTGTGTTGTGTGTTTGTTTATTCTCCACTAGCTAATAGGCAAATAGGTGGTCCATAACCGATACCGGCTTCAGGGTTACTATAAAACAGGTGATTTTACTGAAATGACGGCATCATAGAGATATATGCCGTGATAGCAAGCAAAAAAGCTAATTTGCATGCATCAACGCACTGGCTTACTTTGACCTGATGTGCTTGCTCTGTGTAGCTTGGAGGTGCAGAAGCCACAGTGGAGGGCATGTATTGACTCATGCATGCTACGTATCTAGCCTGTGTCCGACTCTGCTAGCTACTAGCAGAACACGACGAGTAAATGCATACCAATGCCAAGCCTAAGCTCCTATCAATGAGCGGTAGGCATGCATAGTGCGCCGAGGTTTTGCACTGGGCTTCCCCTCGTGACCTCATGGGATATGTTTGCACAGTGGTAACGTAAACCCCTTTGGTCACGGCCCACGGGAATTATGTTACAACCATGCCATGTGGCACTGGGGCGCTAGCAAAAATGAAAACCAAACCCTCGGTGCACTTGAGATGCGACACATTGCACCCACACACATGCGCAGGCCAGTAGTTTTCTAATTGATCGGTTGCGCTACATTGCAGACCTACATGAGGTCTTTTGCTAACTATTGGCACAGGTTAGCAGTAGATAGAATTTTAAGCATCCACGAGACTCAACACTTGACCTCCATTGTTTTCGTTGGCTTGTTGCACGTGGCAGAAAACATGGTAACAGACAGACGGACCAACAAACACACACACCACTCGTACAAACTAAGTACCGTCCCCTCGCTTCGCACGGGAACCAGGTGAACTCAATTGCCTTTTCCAATTGAATGCAACAAGCATGGAGTTGACATGCTCTTATGTTCACAACATCCTTATTCTTTTCTCTGGCATCTTAGTATTAGCTATCACTTACAGATGTATTTACCTTCAGTAGAGATGTGTTTAGTAACTTTGCAGGGCTGGGACGTCTAGAAGGGTCAGGATCAACACAAAGATCTATGACCTGCATGTGTTATATTACAGACACATAATAAAGAGGCATACACATAGACAGTACACGACCAGACAGAAAATTCAGCAACATTCTTTTACCCATGTTTATCTACAAATGCACATAAATACAACACCTCAGGCTAAGTGTGAGAGAAAGAGACAGTATCTCAGCTGGACTGCTATTTGCCTGCCTCGCACACGTATTAAAGTAGTCATTTCTTGTACCTTTAAACTTTACTGACAGAGCTAGTTGGAATCACATTCACGAGACCTGTGTCATGCCTTACCAATCTTTTGCCATGGATTGTACCAAATGGAGAGTATGGGGGGATAAATGACCTGACAAACCGGTAAGCTCTTAAGCTCTTAACTCTCTAGCATACCTTTGGACTGACAAGCCTCTCCATTGCAGGCTAATTAAAAAATTCCGGCCTAATGAAATTACAAGAGTAAGAACAGGATAACAAAAATCATGTTGAAATCGGCAAGTAGGAGCTTGTGCCAAGGCTCATACCAAGTCTAGGTTGTAGTAGTTGGAAGTATATATGTATATGGAATACTTACATTTGACACAACAAAATTTGACGCTAAAACAACACACTTTTAACATAAAACTGACCTCTACCAAACCTCCTTGAACTTCACTAGACTAGCTGTAAGAATTTTTATGCTGCTGTGGAAGCAAACTTGGTGAGCACTGATTCATCAGCAATGCCAACGTCACAATAAGAGAGGGAACATCGTTGGAGTTATTTGTGTCAATGGCAACTAAAAGCTCATGTATTTTTCTACCCTATCCTCTAAGCTGCTGTGGGGGTTCAGGTGCAGAAGTGGGGGCGTCCACAACATACCATCATAAAGCAACCCCCTCATTTCCATTTTATTCGGGGAATTGCGATATGCAATGCATGCACACATATTTTTGCATACTAACACCATCGGTAGTCTCCACTAATAACCTTGATATCAGCCAGCTAATAATTTAGTAGAGGCTATGTTAGTCCCTGTCACATAGAGTTGTGAGCTTGATGTGCTTCTAGTTGCTATAGCCAGTTCACTCCACAATAAACAACTTGTGTGCTGTCCCACTTGATGTCAAGTAGGATTCTGTTTGCATGCATTGCAATATCCTTCCTGCTGTCATTCATCATGACAGCCCTCATATACTTTTGCATCATTGTGCAAATCTCACTTGTGTAGGCATACCCACATAAAAAATGATCTTACAGACTGCTCGTATCACCTTTTCCGTCTGAGTTATGCTCTTGACCTTTGTTGGTACAGTGTCCTACTTGATCTGAATACAAGTCTTAAATCTTGTACTCTCTAGCTCAAGCTTCTGACTGATTCCTTTCACAAAAGGTGGATAGAGGGTTTAGGGGTTCTTACCTTTACTTTGTGGTAAATTTGTCCTAGTTTTTGTCTTTTTTACACGATTTTGGGTTACCTGAATTGGGTTGGGATTAAGATGGGGAAGGGAGGGGAGTGGGGGCAGTGTGGAATGGTCTCTGCAGAGTAACATGAGTGTACCTCAACACATGGAGACCCATCAACTTTACAATATGATTTCCTTTCCGTAAATAGATTATTGGTGTGAGCCTACGTAGTCGTTTCAATGCGGGAATTTTATATATCCAAATTTTGTACGTGATTTTAAATACGCAAAATATTGAACTGCTCACGCTCACTCGCCAAACAACGTGTTGCATTCCAGTAATAATTTACTTCATCTTGTATCTTCGGACTTTGTGGTCACATTATTCATCAATTTGCACCTTCTCAATCAAACTTAGTTGTACATTACCTCATTGTTGACATGCATGCTCTCAGTTTGGAGTTGGGCATATTTGGTGGTTTAATTACCCTGGTCTGCTCCTGCATACTGAGTGAGAATATACTGTGCCATAGCACGGTTTGCTTTTGTGTTGTACTGTGTTGTAGATTCGAACACTTCCCAGCTGAGTTGCAGTTGGTAGAGTGCTTTCCGAGAAATTAGAGTGTCGTGGGTTCAAATCCCACTCAGGGCAGCTCTTTGGAAAAAAGAGTGGTCCTGGGTGTAGTTGACTTGTTTGCTTTGCCTTGCCTTTCTACCTCAATACCTCGTTATCGACACATGTACTGTATAGCAAAGACCTTACTATTTTCGATCTGGAACCTGAACTTGTGTCAACGACATCTAAGAAGAACTTAGGTTAAGCTTCTACCCTACCTTTCATTGTGTATGTCGTTTCATGTGATGTTATCATAAACAGCACCAGCCTAGTGCTCTGTGCAGAAACATAGGCTCTTAAGCTACTACACCTAGACATACCCCGCTCTGCTCCTACATACTGAGTTAGTATGCGCAGTAGTTTAAGGTTTGCCTTGTATTGTATTATGTTGAAGATTTGAACCCCTACTAGCTAAGTTGTCCTACTAGCTCGGTTGGTAGAGCGCTCGTCTAGACAGAAGAATGTTGTGGGTTTGAAATCCCACACAGGGCAGCCCCTTTTTTTCTTGAAAAAGAGCTGTCACTGGGTGTAGTTGATTTGTATCCCCTTGCCTTGCTACCTCTTGGCAGATGCCATAAACCGCAAGTAACATTTTGTGTACTTGTGTAGGTGGCCCATTTCCTAACAATCATTGATAAGTATTTTCTACCTTTGATAAGTGAGTAGATATCTGACCATCCTTTTCTCCATCATCTTTTTTCATCAATACAGGTGGATGACCCCTTAGTTTCAACATCATTATCTGTGAGCAACCCACAAATAAACACAAGAATAATTATTACATATCTGCTACAGCAATCATTATCTGTGAGCAACCCACAAATAAACACAAGAATAATTAAAAGCACTGAAGTGCAAACCCTCGGCGAACTGCGTACGCACGGTACCACTAATTGATAGGCTGGGCTTTTAGTATGCGTTTACTCGTGGTATCCACGCTCGCGGAGAGTCTGACACAGACTAGCTACAGTAGTAGATAGCATGCGGGAGTCGATACACGCCCTTCGTTGTGACTTCTTATGCCTTCAAGATACACAGAGCAAGCGGCCCGGTCGGGGTAAGCTTGTCATAATAACCGCATGCGCATTTTCCGCAGCGATAAAAAATGGCCGACTACGCATTATCCGTACAATGCTGAAAGCATTGTAGCTCTGCAATGGAGCATTTTTCAGAAAAAACCGCTCATAATTTATGACCTTCATTGCCCGTTGAGTACGTCGCATCGTTTGTGAGACGAACAGACATCCGAGAGGTGAGATGTAGAGTAACAGACACACAGACAGACAGACAGACAGACACACAAACCCAACTACTGTACCCTCGCTGCGCATGCGCGCCGAGGGTAATTATAATTATTACATATCTGCTACAGCAATCATTATCTGTGAGCAACCCACAAATAAACACAAGAATAATTATAATTATTACATATCTGCTACAGCAATCATTATCTGTGAGCAACCCACAAATAAACACAACAATAATTATAATTCTTGCATATCTGCTACAGCACTCTTGGTATGAAATTAAACTTTGGCGGATTTTCCCTACACCCGTAAATTAATGTGCATTCACATAGCATACCATGCTGTAATACAGAACAGCATATTGCCTGTTTTATGTATATGCACTAAGAAGCACACATAATGATTTTACGAGTTTCTTTGCCAGACAAATCCCTCGTTAACGACAAAAATCCGCCGTTATAAATGTTCCAAACCACAGCAAACACATGCTTCATAGCTGACAAAGCCTCAGGCAATTTTACTTAAAACTCTTCACTCTTCAAACTTTCTAACTAGCACGCATGGAGGTCAAACTTGGTGCGCATGTGTATTACATCGTTTCCATGATAAGCATGTGTATTACATGACAACAACATGTTTCTATGACGACTACATATTGTTCAAATAGCTCCAGGCACTTCTCCTCAAACTTGCTAACGGCAGCACACATTCAGATGAAACTTGGTAGGCATGCGTATTACCATGACGACAACAGGCATTTTTCTCTATTATAGGCGGCTTGCCCCCTTTCACAGAGATATACGTACGTAGTAGTATATAAAAATGAATGGAGACAAGTAACTTTAAAATCCTGCCAATTTAAAAAAAGAGGCATATACGTAGGGAGAGATAGGGATGGGATACATGAAGCATGGTTAATGAACAGATTTGAGCACGCTGACACCCCGACCTCATCATGCAATCCCTATATTGTTGCCTAGGTGAAGTATTAAACATTCAACATTACACAATAGTCAGGAGTTACAGCTTGAAAATAGAAAAAGTCATGCTACTGAGTAACCGAGAGAATGAAAAGCACTAAAGTGCAAACCCTCGGCGAACTACGCATGCGCTGTACCTCTAATTGATGGGCTGGGCCTATTAGTCTGCGTTTACCCGTGATCTCCCGCTAGTAGCTCGCGGAGAGTCTGACACGGGCTAGCTACAGTAGTAGATAGCATGCGAGAGTCGATACACGCCCTTCGTTGTGACTTCTTGTGCCTCCGAGGTACACAGATAAAGCGGATCAAGTCGAGGTAAGCTAGTGCTAATTAGCATATTGGCTTGTTCACTTGGTTTTCACACCATAACTTCTGAACGCGGCACTTTTACGAAAATCGCCATTTAAAAAATCAAGCCAGTGTAGCGCTGAACCCGTTAGTGTCGCTATTTTACCTGTTTGTTGTGCGTGGTGGCAGACGTGGTAACCGACGGACAGACGGACAAACCAAGTACTGTAACCCTCGCTGCGCATGCGCGCCGAGGGTTAACAAATGGAGTGGCACACCAGGCAACAATAATTATAGAGATTGCGTGATGGAGTCGGATAGTGTTATTTGATGTTTGATGCTGGCTTACTTTGTGCTAGGCCCTTTTTTGGTGTTTTTATGGACGATTCAGCTTATGGTTGTGCAGTTCGTGTAATACTTAAATTACACTCTAACGTGGCACAAAATTTGTACCACTAGTCACCACACGTAATTTTCCCGCATTATGCTTGGCCAGCGAGAATACCCAATCCCAAAGAGCCCACTGAGCCGTTTGCGCGTATTGTCTGAAAACTACTAAAAGGTGAGCAGTGAAATTCTTCTTGCTTTACAGATGCTTGATTGTGGCTATAAAGATGCTGCTATAGACGAGGATTGTCCACGTTAAGTTTCGGTTCAAACTCAAAGTCTTGCTAAAAAAGCAGCCTGATTTTTTTATTTTTTATGACGGACTTTCTTTTAGAGGTTGTTATTGTCATGAGACTTACATCGTCTCACAGGACCATCATCAGCAGTGATTAAGTATCATTCTCATACGCCACTTGTGTGGATTGCTTACAGCATGACTGAGATATTGGGTAAAGAGTTAAAAAGTGACCATTCTACTCTCTAGCACTGTAGTTGCTGTGAAAGAAAACAAACTACAGCAGTGCTTATCAGCCTTATGCATCAAAGAGAAGCTACATATCCCCCAAGAGTACACCGACAGCCCTCTGTCACGTACAGCTTTTTACACATCGTTGCACTTCTAATCCTCTTTCCTATCACTATTTAGTGCAAAGACTAAGCCACGCGGCATCGTGGATACTGTACCGCTTGTGTGCAGTCAGTCAGCGGAGAAGTACCGTACAGTACAGGGATATGATGAATGTCACGGAGAAAATCCAACTTCTGTGCATGGAGGTTTACTTTCTTGAATATCGTTATTAACCCTCGGCGCGCATGCGCAGTGAGGTTACGTTACTTGGTTCATAAGTGTGTCTGTCTGTCTGTTACCACGTTTTCCGCCACCACGTGCAACGAGACAACAAAAGGGCGGTACCAAAAGGTTGAGCAGTATACTGGCTTTATTTTAAAAGTGACGATTTTCATAAAAGTACTGTGTTCGAGAGTTAAGGCTTGAAAGCCAAGTGAACAAGCCAATATGCTAATTAGTATTTGCTTACCTCGACCGGATTCTGCTGTTTGTGCTCTGCCAAGGCATGCGATCAATGGAAGACGAGTGTAGAGTGCAGCGAAACAACGCTAGTTTAGCTAGCGAAAGATAAATCTAAACGCTAGCTGAGCGGGTATCCCGACTGCACCAACCGCGGGTAATTATACCGATCCCTCCGCACCTGCGCATGTTACACTGTTGCGTGCATTTGTGATTCGCATGCGTAGATACTGAGTTCAGTGTGGCTTCATTCGTCATCGTCCCGTGGAAAGCTACCCGTATAATGGATGCCAAATCTTAGCAAAGGTCTGGGTTAGTGCAGATGAACGCTAGCCTCGCATGTGTTTTACAGAGCCTTTCTCCTGTCTACCTTTGTTAATCAGTATCTCTGACTTTTCAGGATACTTCTGATACTTGAGCCATTGATTCGTGATGGTGATATTCTCAGTCCTGGAACCAAATTGTTGTATGATTTGTCTGATTTCTGGGTGATCATGGTTGTGTTGTATACCGATGAGATGATGATGGTTTCTGTCATTCCTCGATTTCCATGTCCCTAGGCTTTAGGACACGTCCACTGCTTATTCTCATTTCAGGTCTGCTTTATAAAGCCAGTCTGGGTCTTCTCAACATGTTCATTGGCCCAGCACTGTGATTGTGACAAAAATATTGCTACACTAAGCTACGGTGATTAACGCACACACGTAGCCTAACCCACATGCATGGTACCATGCCGCCGAGGGTTTTGCACTTTAGTGCTTTTCATTAACGATGGTAATGGGTGTCTTAGCATTTATGGCAAGGGTATATTGTGAATGAATACTAGAGGAATGTAACACAATGATTGGCGATCGAGTGCGAGCAGTTCCAAGCAGAATTACGGTACAATGCGAGCATTTCAATATTTAATTGCGGTATGTTGGTCATCGGGTTGGTGCACTGTTAGAGAGATATATACGGAAAAATTCCACATTGAGATACCTAGGTGGGGCTCGCTATGCTCGCCAATCATTTTATAAAACGTGCGGTGGGACAAATGAGCCATTTTGAACTAATGAAAACGGCTAGTTCTTCAACGCCGTACATCATGGCGGCCCAGTACACGAAGCGCAGCGAGCATGTCACTTGAAGCGGATCCAGTGACACGACCGTCGCTACCTGTGAAAAAGCCACGGGAACGCTACGTTCGCGTATGCTGGAGATTAGTAAGTTCTTGGTTGCTCCAACTGGGCTGCCACAGCCAACCACAAGCTACGCTACAAGCGGCGCTGAGAAAATATCTCCATGGTCCGCACACCTACACTCTGGTCTTACCTGCCCGGAAGCAATAGGACCTCATGCTAAAGTCGTACGCGCTGCACGTGTCTTTCCCAAGCCATGACACCTTCACGAGCGATAGCTCCAGTCTACCATGATTCAAAAGTTAACCGCCAAAACGCTTTTTATGCAACTGCACTAAAACCGGTTTACTGGGCTACACACCAGTTACAGAAGGCTGGCTGCAGGTGGCTTGCGATATACGCCCGAGTGCAGGAATGCAATTAGTACCCAAGAGCACATACGCATGCCACCCAGACTGCCCTGATATAACTAATACTAATAATAAACTGACCCTTGGGAACCTGGCCATAATTATATTGATAATTAAACCTCTAGAATTGGCGCCTTCTGGGCACTGAATCTCTGTTGCACAATATATGCCTTACGACACAACATAAATGCACTGCACACACCTCTGTAACCGGAAGACCAGCAAATGGAGCCTCCCCTGTGGCAAGTTCCAAAGCCGCAATCCCTACGCTGTATACGTCTGATTGAAAGGAGTACCCTGAGAGATCTTGTGAAAGCAATTCTGGAGCCAGCCAACATATATTATCCACTGTACCAGTGAAATGTCCATGTAGGGCCTGAATAGTCAACATACAAGTAAATAAAAAAGAGGAATACAGGGATGGTATAAAAAGGGAGACAAGATAGGGAGGGATGTAGGGACAGGACGACATGTTTTATTATGCATGGATTACACTGACACTCTGAGTCATCACAAAACAACAATACTACGGCCTAGTGTGCCATTTTAAAGGAATCTAAAATTAAGTTCATTTTACAGTAGAAGAAACATGCTTTTTCACTTTGTTCGCAATACAGTCCTGTTATTTTTCCCTTATTCCTTTGCATGACTCTTTTTGATTTACTTGTTTATTATTTTTTACATCCATAATTATACTAGAGTGTAAATACGCAAGAAAAGGCAAATGTTATAAAGGCTATTTGTTGATGTAATTCAATGCTTAGAGCTAAATTGTGCAATCTGATTGGTCGATGTACAGATCTGTAGAGCAAGTCCGGGCTCTAAATTTGACTTTGGGGTGAGAAAGTAGCTCTTGTTCGCCACTTCAGTTTAATTGATTTCATGCGTTGCCATAGCTCTAAAGAAGAGGGAGCGTATATAGCTAGATATATATTTGCCTGTATACCATTGCTAGTGATTTTGAAAGCATAGCAAGTCATTCTCGCAGGGTTTAGCCGTTTTGTACACGAGATTTGACCTGTGCCATTCGCGTCTACCAATGTAGGCCAACTAGGATTTCCAAACTGCACTAAAATTGCGCACCTTATGTATGACAATAGTGTCATAAAATCACTGCTGTTTAGTTTATTCTATTATAGCCTCTTTTGGTGTGATTGTGAGGTTTAACAATTATACATTAGTGTCCTACATACGTACATAGCTAACATTTTTGGCCAGGAGATATTTGCTACTATCAACCTTTCTGCTCATGATCTTCATGTAGAGGGTGGTATTAAGCCTCTGACGTGTAGCTGACCTGCCTTGCCTTGCATTTCTACCTCGTTACCTAAAGTCTATTCAATCTCACCTGGCTCCCAGAAGTCGTTGTGTAAACAGTTTTACAGTAACCGCATATTTTACTTGTGGCATGCTGCTAACTTTTGACTTGTATTCAGGCTTAGTAAAACATATGGTTAGACTCCTACATACTGAATGAGAGTATACTGTGCCATAGCACAGTGGTTTGAGATGTTATAGATTCAAACCCCTACCAGCTGATTTGCCCTGGTACAGCTAAGTTGGTAGAATGCTCACCTAGAAAGCAGTGTCGTGGGTTCGAATCCCACCCTAGGCAGCTGTTTCTAAAGCGAGACACTGTCTCCTGTGAGAGGTGCGACAATTCCTCAATCATGTTGCATTCTCGCTTGTGGTAATGGTAGTCGTTTGCCTTGCCCTTAGTGGAATTGATTGCTGTAGATATGTACTTGAGTCTAACATGTATGTACATAACAAATGGGAATACCTTGACCCTTGCTCCATCCTCAATCATTGAAACAACACTTCTGAGTCCAGAAAGTTTCACAATACCATCCTCATGAATCAAAAAATGTTTAGCACGTACACTCCTAATATGTATATACATAATGTTACACATTACTTGTTCAAGTTGTTACCAACCTGTGAACAAATCCAAGTGAATGCAAATATTGTAGTCCACTGACAATATCCCTCAAAATAATTGAAATGACTGGTTCTTTAAACCCATTACGAAAGGGTTGTGCAGAATGCATTATATCAGCACAGGAGCCTGCATACAACAGCAACATGAAAAGTATAATGCTGTGCTAATAAACCAGACCATAACCCATAACAACATGCGCAACCAATTAATGGTGAATGTTTAATACTTCACCTAGGCAACAATATAGGGATTGTGTGATGGGGTTGGGGGTGTCAGTGTGCTTAAATCTGTTCATGCTTCATGTATCCCAAACGAGACAAATGTTACCTACCATATTCCTGATAGTATGAGAGAGAGCAAAGGTTTTTCAGCTACACACGTTGTCCTGCTATGCAGTGTGTATATTGATGGACCCTTCCTACCAAAAATGCACCTTGGGGGAAGGAGGGGCAAACTCATAGTTTCTAAAATGTAGAAGGAGCCAAATCGGGTGTGTGGATAATTAGTGACTTGAGTACAACTGGGATATGAAGGTACACTGAACACCAGCAGCAAGTGACGCAGTTCACATGAATTTTAGGCTTATAAGTGACGGGCATGATATAAAGTGGCAAGCTTCAATAGGGGTCCAAAATATCAAAAAAGGGTGTTTTGAGATGCCTTCTGGCAGAACTTGTTGTTGCACAGTCCAATGAAAAACTTTAAAACTTTGGAGTGAGATCTTTTCCATTTACACCAAGGGGGTAAAATAGCTTACTAACCCCTCCCCTCCCACTTTTTGCACTTCCGATGTGTTTCTAGGAAGGAACACAAAGGTCTAAAACAGTGACACAATGCTGAGATTGTCTTCTGGTACGCAAATTACTTTTGTATCTGACTCTGTTCTAGTGATAACAGTACAGTAATAACATCTTCTGCTCACAAGTTCGAGTTTATATTGGACAAACACACACAATGTTGATTGCTTTGTAGTTAACCTGGGCATAAACAGAAGATACTTGATTGCAATGGGCAATAACACACAAATGTTCTGTAAATGAAAGATTATGTTCTCCATCGCAGGACGTTTGACAAACAGCGTAGTACAGTTAATGGCAACTCAGAAGTTTGCAACTGTATGTACACATGTGTACTCTACGATGCTGTTAATTCTTTTTAACCGCCAGAGTCTCGGGCACTGAAAGCACTCAGCGTGTGTTGTTAGAATTGTGCATGTGTTTGTGCATATGTCAACAATCTAAGTTAGGTACATAGCAAGGTAAAAGGCAAGCAAATCAACTACACCCAGGGCAGCTTTGTTTCAAAGGAAAAATAAGAGCTGCCCTGGGTGGGATTCAAACCCACTAAACTCTGCTGCCTAAGCGAGCGCTCTAAACTGGGCTAGGGGTTCAGGTAGGGGTTCAAATCTTCAAAACCACACAAAAACAAGACAAAGGGAAACCTCAAATCACTGTGATATGGCACAGTATACAACGCAACTGAGCCACGAGACCAAAGCAGTCCAAGTTATACAAAGTAGCTTTTTAGTGTTTTCTAGGTGGAAGAGGCGTGGCAGTGCGTACTGCACTTGGCATTCGATCAAAATTATGCGCATAGGGGGTAGAGATTACATGTTGTGGGAGCGGCCCATGTCAGACTAAACTAGCTAACATGAAAATTGTTACATGTTATGTGTATTCACTATTGCATCATCCTCACTAACAAATATCATCAGGCATCAGGCAAATCTCTTTATACTTAATTCTTCGCCCATCTAAATTGTGAACAGAGTGGCATATGGATATGAAACATGCATATGGCATCTTGTATGGGGGATGACCAGTGTAATAACTTAGGCTATGTTCACAATATGTTGCATTGCCCCATTGCGCAGCGTTGCGTCCGGTCGCGAAGAGAAACAGATTCTATACTTGCGGCGCGGCAACGCGGCATGGAGCGACAGGCCAATGCGACATATTGTGAACCTAGCCTTACTCTTGCATTCCAGTGTGTATATCTGAAAATTTTCAATTTTACTGTCAAACTAATGTCAAGATAGGTAAGGTGTAATCCAAATACCATCAAAGATTGGGAGATTACTCACTACAAATTAACCAGAGCACAGTGTCTTCAATAGATAAGTGTCTCAAAAAGAGAAATTTATAGACAAAAGCCTGGGCCTTACCATAATGCATCAGAGGTTGTAAAGCCCACAGTTTAGTACCAACCACAAAGCTGCACAAGTATCTCGCAACATGAGTGTGGTTAATCAGCTGAGAAAGTTTCATTTCATTCTGAACGTCTTCCATTTGGGAAGAAGATAAACGTTCCAGGTCGATGAGGCGTAGCACAGTGAATACGTTGCTTGGAATATGCTGGGAGAGAAAGATAGAAGCTGCACCAAAGCATCCGACACCTATATAAGAACAAAACCTTCCATAAAAAAAGTACTAAAGTGCAAACCCTCAGTGCACTAGAAGCTTCGAACCAATATGAATGCAGCTAATTGATTGGCTGGGCTATGAGTAGTCGATATATGCACTCGAGGTCTCATGCTAGTAGCTTGCAGAGAGTCTGACATGGGCTAGCTAAACTGGATCAAGCTATAGGGCTAGGCTAGGTCGGCTGGGATTACACTAGGTTAGTGAAAATGTATAATACAGTACACAACACTCATATGCCTGTGCGGGTCAGTAGATGGCTAATTGATGAGCTGGGCCACACTGTCGATTAATACATGGTTTATTTCTAGCTGCTGAGAGGCGATAGAGGTTGATAGCGTTTTAGGCATTGCGGGACTCAATACGTGTAACTTCCGCAAAGTGCAAGCAAAGAATCACAGACCCAGTGCAGACAATTCGCGATCCTCCACCACCCTCTGCCAAGGATAAATTGCACAAATAGAGGGAAAATTGTGTTTGCTCCTGAGATTTAAACATGGGTAAAAAGATTTGTAACAAAGAAATCACTGCTCACAATTGGAGAAAAATCGCATTGACATAAACATGTGGGGTGTCAGCATGGTTAAATATGTTCATTAACCATGCTTCATGTATCCCATCCCTATCTTGTCTTCTTTATTTTTATAGCATCCCTATATTCCTCTTCTTTAAAATTTCACAGGATTTTTAATTACTTGTACAAACTTTCATTTGGATACAGATCTTAGTATTTGTGAGTTACACTAACGCACGTGTCCCCATTATAAAGTATTGCCCGGGGCTATCTGTTGTTGTTTACAAACAAAAAAGTATGACGTTTCACATGTGGAGGGCGAAGCCCCCAAAGGGGGCGGTGCGGGGCTCTTTGAGTTATACTGGTTGAGAGGGTTGAACTTAACGTGTAAAATTAACAAAGAGGGATGACAATTCCTAGAAACGGTTTTGGATATGCGACATCCTACTGCCTCATTACCATTTCAAACAGTCTAACCCTTCAGTCCATAGGAGGGGTGTCAACTTGCCAAAATGTCTGGTGCCAAAACCATGGCGCCAGGGATGGCCTAGGCGACCGCCCCCTCCCGCCCAATTGCTTCAGTTCAGCTAACAACGTAATTCCACGTTCGCACGTACGTGTATTGCGCTGAGACATGTAGGCAAGATTTGGCGCCATAGAGCCAGGTTGACATTCCTGCCCTAGGCCCTCCTTATATCAAGTGAAATTCAGTTTCGGTTCTACTATCCATGTGTAAGGTGACCTGGAAACAAATCCCATAATCGCATGCACTCCATCTGCACAGGCACAAACCACAACAGAGGAATACCCTAGAAATGAATACTTGTAAAAACCTCACATACCAATAGCTTGATAGACTAGGTAATCAGATGAGATAGGTGTTGCTTCATATTCAGCTCCCAACTTCGATGTTTTTTGCAAGAGAGTAGCCTATATTATGTCAAACAAAATTATAGGTTTCTCCACAAGGCTTTCACACTATAGCTCTAATTGCAGGCTGCTTGCTAAGAAGCTGTGGCTTATTTCTGGTAATACAGATGGAAAAGAAACACACAGATCAGCCTATAACAAACATTAAAATTCACATCCCGATATAAGATATGTGGTCCAGTTACTATGTATATATGTACTTCCAACATATGACACTAACACATCTTCATATCACATAAACTTACTTGGGAAACTGTGGATTCCGAAGTACTGTGCAACATGTCTGGATATTTTGGCCCTACCTTTCTCAAGTTACAAAAGCATGGTAGCTGTGGCAAAAAGCAGGGTTTCACTAACACACAACGGCAAACGGATGTGTATACAACATGTATAATAATGTCCCATGACCAAAAAGTCTAACTCTTGGTTGTAAACAATTACAGACAACCGATGGTAGTCATAAGTTATTCTTTCTAGCACCATTAAACTAGACTGCGCTGCTGCTTATAATTGGGGTTTAATGGTTTGTGTTATTCCACACCCCATATCAAACTTGATGGGGCTACTTGATGGATAGTAAAGGAGTCAGGAGTCGTAACACTACACCATAACACAGGACATGCTTACTCAGGTACTAGGTAATCTGAAAGGAAACATACAGCATATGAAGGACATTACGACTATTACCACGCACACACGCAGTTCAACTGCCACTCAACGAAAGCTATCTTACCATGTTGCTAAGACTGTGGCACAGCCATCGTAAAGATTTGCACCAGCGCGCCAGGTCAACTTACCCTGGCCACCCCGCCCCATGCGCGAGCGGAAGTGTTTAATTATACGCGCGTGTGGAACTTGACAGCCATGGCTGGTTGTCTGAAGATAGCGGCGATTATTGTTTTTTATGCCTCTTTTGCAGCAGCACTGGAGTTTCCCAGTGCTTATTATGCAAAGGGTCATATCTACCTCCCCTATGGTGACATTGCTGAACCATTTGAGGCCTGGGTTGATATGAAATCCGGTAAAAGTCGGATGGACACTTACAATGGTGAGGTTGGGTGGTTGAATGATGTATCACAAGTACGGTAGTACTTATTATATGAGGATGACATGTTACCTAGCATTATCACTAAGTACGGTCCCTTTGTTGTTGCCTAGGTAAAAATAAAATACAATGTTACTGACTCTTGCAGAGTCCAAATTGAGTTTAAATTCGCAGGATTTTTAAATTACTTGTAAATTCATAAATTACAGGGACATCCAAGATCATCAACCGTCAAGATGAGGGCAATTACGGGATGATGTATAAGATTGTCCCAGTAACAACAGAAAGTGTTGCCAATAAAATCAGCTGTTTCAAGTTAGGAGGATTTAAAGGAGTTCCTGTGGTGCCTCAGGGAGTATTACCTAATGCTACTCTGTACAAGGTGCGTTGTGTACGTATGTGCATGTGTGTGGATGAAACGATCATTCAAACAGATTACAATGAAAAAGCACTGAAGTGCAAACCCTTGGCGAACTGCGCATGTGTGTGGATGAAACGATCATCCAAACAGATTACAATGAAAAAGCACTGAAGTGCAAACCCTTGGCGAACTGCGCATGCGTCTCCCCCTGGTAGCTCGAGGAGAGTCTGACAGGGGCTAGCTACAGCAGTAGATAGCATTCGTGAGTCAATACACGCCCTTCGTTGTAACTTCTTGTGCCTTCAAGATGCACAGAGCAAGCGGACCAGCTCAAGATTAGCCTGTTCTAATTAGCATATTGGCTTTTTCGTTCCATAACTTTTGAACGCAGTAGTTTCAAAGATAACCCTACATACATACTTTTCGACCTAATACCCGACGCTGAATAGCTGGTATTGTTTGTGGAGTGATTCATGGCTCGTGAAGTAAGATATTGGGTAACGGACAGACAGACGCACACGACAACTACAGTAACCCTCGCTGTGAATGTGCGCCGAGGGTTAGTAAGTACAGGGCATTTTTTGCAAGTGGGAGTGAGTTCGAGCCTGTTTGAATGCTACTCTGCTTACACATGGCATGCCACCACCACTATACTGCCTGGACAGCTATGGGTTTGTTCGCTTCTGCTTGCCAGGATGATGGTCAATTGTGTAATTTTAGCTGCTGTATACACTTGCAAATGCGAGATGCGAGAATAAGCAGTGGGGATAGATGGACGGACTCACCAAGTACCATAACCTCACTGCTCATGCTTTCCAAGAGTTAATGAATGAGTCTTTTGGCATCACACTTATTTTTACGTAACCTTTGCACGCTGGCAGTCCTAGCATAAGATTTCTATACTTAAAAAGCGGGTGTGCCTACCCAACATGTTTGGACACATAACGAAATTACGTGTAACAACAGGCTTTTGTGTCTGCTAAACTCTGGAGGTCTAATGTCTTACACAAAATTTATTGTGTGCTGGGTTATATACTGTGTATCATCTTTCAGAGATATATCTGCACACCCACACTGCATGCATTAATATGGCCCTTCTTGTCACTATCAGGTATCTGTATGCTATAGCTAATGTAATATTTTGCCGCAGCTAAAGACCTGCAGTTACAAGTTAAGTGTGTGTGAGTAAATGTTGAAAACTTCATGTATCCTCACAGTATGTAACTGACATGGAGTATGAAGGTTTGAAGGTGTCGGTTTACATATCCTACTTTACGGATAATGACCGATCAAACAATTATACGCTGCTCATTCGAAAGGATAATTCTCATCCAGTTGTTCTTCATTTTCTTGGATATGATCGTTTGTTTGGATCACACTACGATGAATATGACATTGTGTATACAGATTTCATGGCAAGTACTCCTGACCCCAGTGTGTTTGAAATCCAGAAAGGTAACTAATGCCTTAGTTATTATGTATAGGACCCGAGAAGTATTGCATGGCAACCGCATATACATGTGCAATTTCATTCTGTGCACTCATACATACGTGAGTTCTGTCCCCTTGCAAGCGTTTATTAACTCTCCGCATGCATGTGCCGGAGGACTACCGTACTTAGTTCATGTGCAGTGTTTCCCGCAGGGTAACATTCAAACAGGGTGCTTATGAATTATCAGCTTTCCGGCTGAAAAAAACGTTACTTGCTGCTCGTGTTTCAAAGCACTTCCTGTTGGGAAATCCCCTACTGGCCTAAAGCCTTTCAAGTGGTACTCTATAACCATGGTGTTACTGTGCGCAGTGTAACTGCGCTGGTTGCAATAATTGTACACGCCCATTTTCGGGATTTTTCAATCCGGGCGGAGCAGCGCCCAGTGGTTATAATGCTGCAGAAACACTGAATTGTGTAGGTCTGTCATTCTTATTGAGTAGGATGAGGATATGATAAAGCCATTTTCTCTATAAAAAAAAACTTTTACCTATAAGGTTAGAGTGTGTTGTATTTTCCGTGGCCAAGTTTGCCATTCCGTTTCCTTTTTCACGACTAACACGCATGCATTTTCATCATACTACAAGCGTGAGCCTGGATGAGTGCAAGGTTGTACTCTGGATGAGGGCAAGTCCTCTGGTTTAGCTGTCTAAGGGCTCTTTGACAAGCGTAACACCAATGCAGATGTTTGGAGTTTAAAGGTGCAGGCGAGGTTTTTAACCACATTTTATGTCTGTATCTTCACAAATTTTAGTTTCAGTAAAATGGCTTTTAATTATGCTTGTTGCGAAACATGACTTCATGATACTCGCTGCAGGAACATGGTTCGGTGCCAAGGGTTTGTGCTTATCATTTATACAAGTTGCAGTGCTACCGCACTACTTGTGCAATAGTGTTCCTTGGTTGTGTTGCTCCTTGGCATAGTACCATTTTCAAGCCAAAATATGTCGAACCCTCTTAAACTGTAATAATATCAATGAATATGATTATGACAGTGGTGTCACTGTGTTCATATATATAATGATGAAAGCACAGTGCATAGGGACACCCGGTGAAGGCATTTACCTTTATTCTCTCTGCCAGGGTTTCAGTGTGGTGCCTTTCCTGGACCTGGAGCTAACAATCCGATGAGTGAAAATCCACTTTTTGAGTTGGTTGGAGCAAGGTCTTATAGCCATATTGAACAACAAAGCCGAGTTGCAGCTGAATTTGAGTTATTCGCCAAAAAGCATGGGAAGCAGTACACACACCAGAAAGAGTTTTCACAAAAACATGCTTCATTTGCTAAAAATTTTAGGTAATACTTTTTGGTCTGGTTGTGTGTTGTTGTGTTTTCGGTAATTCCTTGGTCTAGTTTTGTTGCCAATGTTTCTTGTGGCCTTCAATAACATTTCCGGCCACCTTTTGGGGTTTATTGCTGGACTCCTTAGCACGGGGCAACTAATTCTGTTGCACTACCATGTTTCTAAAGTATAAGATACACCTATGCAATTTCTGCATGAGGCCTTCCCTGTGTATATGTATCCTAGTATTATTCATTCTCATACATGTTTATGAGTATAATGGCTTAATGGACAAGATACATTGTACTGTTGACTGTAGCGTGTTACACTGCTTGAGTTCTATTCACAGTGTTGCCGGTTTTTTTTCCCAACCGCTTTTTCTGCCTACAATGTGAGTAACGATGTTATCCGCCTTCGCAAGTCACGTGGCCCCGTAGAAGACAACGCACACACGTATAGGCGATAGTGCGTCAATACGCAGCAAACCTGTCAGTAAATGTGTGCATTATCTGGTTATTGCACACTTAAGTGTACATTGCGTGATTTAATGCACACTTTTCCACGAATCTGATTGGTCAGAAGTCATGTGACCAGTAATAATTATTCATTATTGCTTACTCATAAGCCAATGAGTAAATAGGAATAAATACGTATGATGGCATTGGTTTAACAACTTCTATTAGCATTGCATGTCCTGTGTTGGTATGTGAGCTACATCTTGTAACACGATGGGTGTGGTACGCTATTTTTAACATTCTGGATCTGTGTTATAAGTGGTCTGTTATGTATCTTAGTTGTCAGTACTACTGTCTGGTAATGGATTATTATCTACTGAGAATTCATATGTGCAAGATGTGACAAATAATGTAGCATTTCTTGTAGTCAGTATAAAGTGGGAAAATTGCTCCATGACTAAAGGCGCAATTTAATTTAAGTCTAAACATGTTTACCGAGCCATTAAGTTAGGATTGCCTGACATGTTTGGTGCATAAGAGTAAAAAAATTTAGTTTATCTCTCCTATAGAGAATGTGGAAAAGGGATCGAAAGAATCCAAGAAAACTACCCAAGCATTTCAGCTGTGCCTTCCAAATATTGACACCCACCTCACATCGTAAAATTACTTTTTGCGTGCTTTTATACTACTAAATACCACATTTAACTTGCTAGCACAGATATGTAAAAAGGGCAGTTGATGCAAGCTGGTTATCAACACACTATCTGTTGTGATAAGACAGTGCTAGTCACCTAACTAGGAAGATCCACTGTGAACTTGGAAAGCTGCTCCATGCTCACCAGGCAAAAATGTGTGAACACATCAGCAAGCCAACTAATCAGATATTGCCAAAGGTTATGATTGCATCAAGTTTAAATCATCTTGTCAATTCTTTTGGATGGTACAAACCTTCAATTCGTTCATAGGTTGTTAGTTATGTGTCGATTGCAATTGCACAAATACATTTGAGTTTTCATATTGCGTGAACCAAAATTTCCAAGCTTGCTGTCCGTATCGCTCTGCATTGGCCTACAGTTGCGACCCGTATTCTAATCCGGAAACTTAGCTTTCTCAGCAGGCTCCTATCAGATGAACCCGTTTTAATGTAGCAAACACTTTCATGGGCATGAAAAGTGGATCGAAACATGCCAAATTCAACAACTGTATTTTTATAATGGCATAGCTTATAACAGCATGTTTGTACTGTTTCCAGGTATATTAATGCCATGAACCGTCAAAATCTGACCTACAAATTAGCTGTAAATCACATGGCTGACTACAGTGAAGTTGATTTCCGTACATTGCGTGGAGTTATAAAAACAAGTGATAGTCTTAGGCAAGACGTCGTACAAAAGTCAAAGAAGAGTTTGCCACTACAATGGGATTGGCGACTGCAAGGTACGTAAATAACATGTTTCAGTGTCACCTATATTTTTTAATGGACGGATTATACATTTAGCAGATTGCAATGTGTGTTGCAAGCCAACGATTTCTGTGTTCGAATGCATGTTGCATTTTTTAACCATGCATGCATGTGCTGTTTCCAATGGTGGGTTTATGGACGAGTTAATGTGGGATTTTGCATTTTGTATGTGACTGGTACTGCAGACACTGTTGTATTTTAACAAGTAAATAAAAAATTCTGCGAATTAAAAAAGTGTGGAATATAGGGATGCCATAAAAAGCAAGGAGACAAGACAGAGATGACCTGGGCATGTGATGCAGTAGTACAATGGGATGATTGTTACATCTTCAAACTGACATTTCTTGCTCATGTAAATTTTACTCCGCACAAGCCCTGACATGAGTTTTGAATAATGTAGTGTGAAGACTGGCAAACGAATTCTGTAGGGAAAGCAGCATTGTAAAACCGGTTAGTTGAGCGAACATTGAAGTAAACACAATCACCTGAGGACCTGTCAGAGAGGGCATTTGCTACCAGTCTTACGTGCATAGGAAACGAGTCATAGCTGCACATCATACGATAGAGATCACTAGTGCTTTGCGACAATATAGGGCTTGTGTGGAGTAAAATTTACATGAGCATGCATTGCATTGGGGCATATAAAAAGTAACACGTATTTATTGCCTCAGTCTGTTGGTCGTCATCTACATTGATAAGTGTACAAAGTTATAGGAAAAATAGCACTTAATTGCCTGAGGCTGTTTGTTGTTGTTTACAAACTTGTAATTTCTGTTTCGATGAACTCTCACCATGGTACATCAGTGTACCAAGTTTCATTGTTAGAGGACCCACAATAAGAAAGTTAGAGGCACAAACACCATTTACAAGTATTTATTGCCTGAGGCTGTTGTTAACTTGTAATTTCTGTTTCGATGATGGAACATCAGTGTACCAATTTCGTCCCACGATAAGCAAGTTATGTTTTAATATAGTTATACAAGTTTTTATTGCCTGAGGCTGTTTGTTGTTGTTTACAAACTTGTAATTTCTGTTTCGATGAACTCTTATCATGGTACATCAGTGTACCAAGTTTCATTGTTAGAGGACCTACAATAAGCAAGTTAGAGGCACAAACACCATTTACAAGTTTTATTGGCTGAGGCTGTTTGTTGTTGTTTGCAAACTTGTAATTTTGCTTTCAATCAACTCTCATCATGGTACATAAGTGTACCAAGTTTCATTGTTAGAGGACCCACCATAAGCAAGTTATAGGCACAAACACATTTTACAAGTTTTTATTGCCTGAGGCTGTTTGTTCTTGTTTACAAACTTATTTTGATACTAATGATGGGTTGCATGTGTGTACAAAGTTTTATCACTCTGGGTATTAGCTTTACCCAGTTAGCACACTTTATTTGTCTCTATAATAATGTATTGCCTGGGGCTATTTGTTGTTGTTTACATGTAAACAAAATTGTTTACGAAGAAATAAAAATGCTCTTGCACGACCTGTCATGGATTCCAATATCTGTGCGAAGTTTCATATGCATATCTTACCCGGTTTTTGAGATATGCTTGTCTAAACTGAACAACAACAACAACAATGACAACAAGAAGAAGAAGAATAAGAAAATTGAAAAGCTATTTCTTGGATACATGCTCTTTGTGACGATACGGATCAGTCTGATGCATCAAAAGTTGGACCTGATTGAAACTGAAAGTCAAACATGAAAATCTCAAATGTATGGGCATAATGCAGGACAACCTGTGTCATCCCTATTATACAAGCTGGGCGGTTGTGCAGAAGCCATGGTCATTTTTTCGAGAGTTCAACGTTACAAGTACGTCACTTTTTCGCTGCTGGACTCCACGCGAGTTTTGTAGCTGCCGCTCTGGCTCGCTTTCTCTCCCGCTATACCCAGCGCTCTCGAATGCAGCCTGTTGCAGTAGAAAGAAAGCTGAAAGTCACATACTGTTCCAGTCTACGGGAGCCTACGCGTCGGGAAGCAGTTTTTAGCTAGTTTTCAGACCGCGTATATACTAGAGCAGTTTTTGCCCATTCTAGCCTGAAAACACTCCCTTCTGGTAAAGAAACAGCAGCACACAAAGAGTGTGAAAGCCCCCTAATTGCATTACACGCTGCCAATTTCCTACTATCGTATAACTACCATATACCCATTGTGGTTTATGCAAATGAGTTGACATACAGCTAAAGTATGGGGAAATCGTATGGCCTCTTTATGGTATAACTACCCGTAAACTCAGCAGGAAGCGCTCACTACTCGTGTACGTTGTTTGGACTAGCTGGAATGCCTTTGATCTTACTCTCAGTCATCATACAAATTGTTATACACTTAAGTACTTGCGTAACGAGAGACATTGGAGGGCGAGTGCTAACAGGCGGCTTGATTGAGCGGCCACATCTGCACCCACCATTGCGTAAAGGAGTGGATTACCAATGGCGAAGTCTTGCCACTCTGCGATGACTCCGAGAGACCACTTAAGTGAGGCTGATTGCTACGTTGTAACATCTACGCATGCGTGAACATGTAGGGAGGAAAAAGAGCGTAGCTACGTGGTTTAGATTGCACATGCATGTTCCAATTCTCGAGAGCTCCGGCCTTGCATTGGTCCTCAATCTCCCATTCCTCACTTGAAAAGTTATTATTCCATGTGATGTTTAGGAGGATATTTCCTCAAGAATTGCACTAATGCCAGCTTTAGCAGGATTTCGGTGGTGTCACATCCGGTCTCTATGAAAGAGCTGATTGTGTGTATGGAGTTGTTTCATGACACTGGTTAAAATCGATTTGCAGTTGACTAGCAACTACATTGTGAACAAGGAGTGTACAACACCACTCTTGGCTAATTGTGGGATCATATGTAGTATCTATCCAAGTTTGTTTTCTTTCTGTGTCCTAAGAACCAAGACAGGAAACATAGGCGCAATCTTAAGTAGATGGACTACCCCCTTACACCTTTTCCTTGCACAAGCTGTTAATATAATTGTCTATATGTATGTGATTTTTGTATGTGTAGGGGCCGTGACTCCTGTCAAGGATCAGGGCATATGTGGAAGTTGCTGGAGTTTTGGTACTACTGGAACTCTTGAGGGATCTCTCTTTATCAAGGTTATAATATAATTAATCCTCGGCATGCTTGTGCTAGTGTGTCACAGTACTTGGTTCTTGGATCTCTCTCTCTCTCCCTGTCTGTCTGTCTGTCTCTCTGTTTGTCTAATACACACTATGACTAGCAATGCTGGACTAGCATTCATTCTTCCAGTACCTTTGTGGCCGCCACAGTGCGTGGAACAAACAAACATTAGTTGGGTAGGCTATTGCCAATAGGAGAATAACGTTTTAGGTGTGTTTGAACCTATAAACACATGGTTTTTGGGAACCACCTTTAAATACGTAAAACACTATGCTTTTAGTAGCCCTTTTTGGCAATTCCTAGAAGCCTAATAGTGGTAACGGACAGACTGACAAACCATTTATGCTGGGGGTGAAGAAGTTGAGTTTACTTGTTTTACCCTGCCCAGCAAAGCTTTTGAATAACCCTCGGCAAGCATGCACAGCGATGGTTACAGTACTTGGTTCGTAAGTGTGTGTGTGTCTGTCTGTCTGTTACCATGTTTTCTGCCAACAAGCCACCCAAGAAGCGACACTAACCGATTCAAAGTTTATTTTGATTTGGTGGTTTTACTCTGTTCGAAATGTATGGCATTAAACAAAGTGAGCAAGCCAATATACACATTACCGGTCGCTTACCTCGGCCTAATTCCACCTGTTTGCGACTGGAGGCATCATACAGTAGGTGTCAAAAAAAACTTTTCCAATTTCCGTTCCGTTGAGCTTCCGTTCCCTTCTGAAACGCCGTTCATTTACCGTTGGAATTCGTTCCGTTCAGTTCCGTTTGGAATCGTTGCCGTACATGCATTCACGCGAGGGCCGTAATTCGCGAGATGCGAAGGCCTCACTGTGAAGATATTTCTTCTAGCACCTACGAGGGTACTGCATTCTCGTTATTTCGCGTTTGCACTACGAAAAAACCTTGTTTCGCTCCCCCGCTAGCGAGTCTCTACCGCGTTTGCGGAGGGCGTGGCACGCGGAATTCACAACTGAACAGAAACGGAACGGAATGATAGTGAACGGCAAACGGAAATAAACGGGAAACGTTTTTTTGACTCCTACTGTAAGTACAACGGAGGGAGTCTCGCAATGCTATCTACTTGTGTAGCTAGCCCGTATCAAACTCTCAGAAAGCTAGGAGAGGGACCACAAGAGTGTAGCCCAGCCCATCAATTAGCGGGTCCAACCTGCGTATGTGTGTGGGTGCAATTACAGGCTTGCACAGAGCTTTTCATTCTTTCATGACTGCCAAAGAATGCTAAAGATAGCAGTCAGTTAATTTTGTTTACCTCACTTGTTTATTGTGATTTCATTTGAAATGGTGGTTCTATCAGTGCAGTGCTCTCCTTTCCCTAGCATTGTTGTTACTGCCAGGTCTTACCTAATACTTAGCATGTTTCTAAAACAAGGGCGTAGGCGCTGTGGGGCCCACGGTTATATTAATATTATATAGGCGTGCGCTGGCGTGTAATTTGTGTGCGGCGGAAAACTATGATTACGCGCGAGCGCACCACAATAAAGCTCAAGCCCCCGCACGTTTTGATTTGTGTCTATAGGCCTCTGTAAAATGCAAAGTATCATGTTTTGAATCCCACCCTGGACAACTCTTCTTATCCTGGCTGTGGCCGATTTGTTTCCTTTGACCTCATTGTTGACATGATTATGCTTAGCTTTGATTTAGGTGTCATTGGTGGTTTAATTACCTCTGTCTGCTCCTGCATTGTAAGTGAGGGTATACTCTGCCATAGCACAGTGGTTTGCAGAGTTGTCCTGGGTATAGTTGATTTGTTTGTTGTGCCTTTGCCTTTCTACCTTGTAATTAACCCTCGGTGCGAGGGAGAGGGACATGAGAGGGATATTGAAGAGGGGCTGAATAGCAAAGTAAAGCTGTTGTTGTATAAGACATTTAACAAGGTGATCATGGGAAAAGTTATGCTGGGTCTAGATTAATGTTTAAGTTCAGGTCAGGCACGCATGGGCTAAATGAGGAACTGGGTAAGCATAGGGGAAGGGAGGGGGTGAAAGAGTGCCTGTTGTGTGATGATGAGTGTGAAAGTGTGAGTCATGTGTTGTGGGATTGTTGAGCATATTGTAGTCTTAGCAGCAATTTCTTAGTTGCCCTGCAGGGAGTGCTTGGGGATGATGGGTTTGAGCATTTCCAGTCCCTTGATAGTTTCAGGAAGCATCCTTTAAATTGGGTAGTGAGCTGTGGGAGGATAAATTTGGTTCTTTGGCTTTGTTAAAGGATGTTTGGGAGCTAAGAAAGGTTATGTTATACGGCGATAATCCCAGCGTATAACAGACCCAGTCTTAGATTGCGTCTGGGGAGCTGCACGGTGTCGCTGGTGGAAGGGGTGAGTTGAGGTGTGTGGGAGGTGGGACAGACACCTCATGTTCGTATAGTGTATGTTCGTTTGTTAACGGTTCCACCCATTGCTCTGGGTGCGTGGTCTATGGCCCTAGTGCTATGGCAGCCACCTGAGTATTATTATTAACCCTCAGTGCGCATGCACAGCGAGGGTTACGGTACTTGGTTCGTGAGTATGTCTGTCTGTCTGTTACGTTTTCTGCCACCACACGCAACAAAACGACAAAGTAACGACACAAACAGGTTGATTGCTACGTACGGTGTTCTAAAGTTATAGCATTAAAACCAAGTGAACAAGCTAATATGGTCATTAACACTGGCTTACCTCGACCGGTGCTTGTGTCGACTCACATGTGCTATCTACTATTGTCACTAGCCCACGTCAGACTCTCCACAAGCTACTGGCGGGATTCCACGAGTAATAGCCAAGCCCATCAATTAGCGGTACCGCACATGCACAGTTCGCCGAGGGTTTGCACTTCAGTGCTTTTCCAGTAAAATTTCATCGGAACAAGACATATAGTTGTTGAATTGCAAGGTTTTTCGAGTACTTAATTTCATGTATGATTAACCCATTAAAACTTTAAATGGCGTAATTAATGGTAGATAACTTAGGCCCCAAATAGTGCAGTCATGCAGTCGTTAGCTAAAAAGTAGCATATTGGTGTTAGTAAGTAGGGTCCAAAACAATTTACTGGTTGTGGTGAAGTGGAGTATTTTGTACTATTTGCAGCACAATAAGCTGATCTCACTAAGTGAACAGTGCTTAGTTGATTGTTCATGGCAGATAACTTAGGCCCCAAATAGTGCAGTCATGCAGTCGTTAGCTAAAAAGTAGCATATTGGTGTTAGTAAGTAGGGTGCAAAACAATTTACTGGTTGTGGTGAAGTGGAGTATTTTGTACTATTTGCAGCACAATAAGCTGATCTCACTAAGTGAACAGTGCTTAGTTGATTGTTCATGGGGCTTTGGTAACAACGGATGTGATGGAGGAGAGAGTGAGAGGGCATATGAATGGATAATGAAGTCTGAGTGTCTTCCAACTGAGTCAAGTTATGGCCAGTATTTAATGCAGGTGAGGCTGTGATAGCACATTTACATGGTACAATTTAGTTTTACTACCATGTAGTTCCTTGCCATGCATATTTACTGTTATAGTGTAGTTACATAATATACATAAATTATAATAAGCATGCAGTGCATGCAGTTGCATGTATTTCCGCGTACACGGTCACATATAGGTTAGACTGAGTGTGAAGTTCATGCCTTAACTCGAAAACCCAAGGCCAGATGTAGCTAGGATAGGTTGCTCCACAGTCAAAGGTCAAAATGGTTTTAATTTGAACGTACGAATCTAACGACTAACCCTGGTAACAGCACTTAAAGGGAATGTGTCAGTACATAAAGGGTATATTTAGAAGTGTTACTTAAGATAGAACTCAACAATGGGGCCCAGTGCTAGAACGCAATTAGGGTACCGTTTTTGGTAACAATTATTTAGCCCTTATATACTGCCACATTACCTTTAATCTCACCCTCACAATTAACCCTCGGCGCGCATGCGCAGCGAGGGTTACGGTACTTGGTCTGTGTGTCTGTCTGTCAGTCTGTTACCACGTTTTCTGCCACCATGCTCGACGAACCGGGCAAAAAGTGACACCAACTGGTTCAGCGCTACACTGGCTTCATTTTTAAACGGCAATTTTCATAAAAGTAGTGCGTTCTGACTTAAAAACCAAGCCAATATGCTAATTAGCACAGGCTTACCTCGACCTGGTCCGCTCGCTCTGTGTATCTTGAAGGCACAAGAAGTCACAACGAAGGGCGTGTATCGACTCCCGCATGCTATCTACTACTGTAGCTAGCCCGTGTCAGACTCTCAGAGAGCTCCTAGCGGGAGACCACGAGTAATAGCCCAGCCCATCAATTAGCGGTACCGCACATGCGCAGTTCGCCGAGGGTTTGCACTTTAGTGCTTTTCATTATTTCAGCATGCGAGCTAACACAATGCTTACAATTTTATCGTGCGGGTTCACAAACATCACTGACCATTGATTTTGCGAGACAACTACAAGCAAGTAAGCAGTATATACAAATATGATCTGTCATACTTTTCCACACTACATACGTATACCTCCATAACTACTTCCTACCCATTGCTCTCACATGGCTAACAGGAAGCAAAAAAGGAAGTGTACAAGCATCACGATTTTTTGGTTTTTCAGCAAGTGCTTGTAAGGAAACAGTGCCGGACTTTGTGGTCTTGAAAAGTTTTTAGTCTTGAAAAGGCATCTTTTAGACTTTTCATGTTGGGAGCAGCTCGCATCAAGCCGTGCAGTGAAGTGACAAACACAGTGGCTATCTTGCTGACGGTGAAATATTGTGAGGTTTGTAGCCTCTTTATACCTTGATTTGGCCCAAAAATGAGGTTTGTTATTCCCTGTAAACGCCTCAAATTTTACAAATTAACTTGGGAAATACATAGAGTTGAATGTAGTGTAACAAAAGGTTTAGCATAGTTAACGGAAGGGAGCCAGTCCCGGCGTGCCTGCATATTGCGCAAGGGAACCAGGCAGCGGAGACGCATGCGCACCCAATGTGCATGCCCAAGATATCCCACGTGGCACGGTGCCATTTAGTTAATTGACTACGAGCAGACGGCTGCAAGTGTCGCACTATCGCAAGACATGAGGACAAGCAAGTATCTGAAATAAGCCTTACATTATGTGTATATACATACCAAAGCAAAGCTTGTACCCCATAGCTTGCTTTTTTCTCGCTCACAAGGGCATACATGAGGCAAAGCAGTATTTCTGTGAGTTTGTGGTTCAGTCTGGGTGTGTTACGGCCATTGTGATTCACAGAGAGTCAAGCAGTTTTTCATGTGGGTGCCATTTTGTTAGTGCTTCTTACTCAGGCAACCTCCGAAAATTTTGAAGATACCATTTGCCCGTAGTTGAATGTTCTCTCTTGGAATCTATAAATTGGCAGCAACACATATTTGTGGTTTTGTAGTTAAGTCTCCTTATCCAAATAATTATTTCACTACCTTCCCCATGACTAGTGCGGCCAATACAATATACTACATCACTTATGTACTGCTGACAGGCCTAATGATGCTGACCACGCTTTGTCTTGGCTGGTGCCTACATGTTGCCCATGTACAACAGACACATGTTTAAAAGTAATTATTATTCCACTGTTCTGGGGCGGATGTCAAACTTGACTTACATGCACATAGCCCACGTAATGGCACTGGAATGCACAGTTAGTCGGAGTGTCTAACTTTCTGCTAATGTCACTAACCACAAGTCAATGTGCTACTTAGAGCTGTCATTTGGCCGAGAAATTTGGTCCCCTCTGTTCACTGGAGGCGTATAGCCACAGTAAGAAGCACAGAAGCGAGCATCCTGGAGCAACCGATACATATCTGCCTCAAGTTAGCAATTGCCATTCCTAGCCGCATAGCGTGACCACAGGGTGTCTTAGTAGCAGGTCTCTCAAGAAGGTCGGATATGGGCGTCTTAGTATACAGACCTAATTACGTTTTCAACATCAAAGCATTAAATTTCTAAGACAGTTTTATCATCTTTACCTTTCTTTTCAGGATGGATTTTGTCGTGTGAATGAATCTGAGTGTGGTGTCCAGATTACTAATTGGCATAACACCCCGCAAGGAAATGTCCAGGCACTTGTCGAGGCAATTTACAACAATGGACCCATCAGTGTAGCCATTGATGCCAGCCACCTAAGCTTTGCATTTTATTCTCATGGAGTTTATTTTGAACCTAAATGCGGTGGGTGTACGATAGCATTTTCATGCTTTAAGTCTTTACCACTATGCCTTCATGTGTGGGGCTCATTGTCCTATTTTAGTTGTTTGCATTTAACTTGACACATCTGCAGTATCCGTTTAATTTTTCTGGAAAGCAGGTTATGATCATATTTTCATGTTGAGCCAAGCCTACATGGGTGGAACAGTGGTCGGACCAGGCCTGCAACTGGATATCAGACCAGCCAGCCACTGGTCCACCCTATCATCTATAGCGTTCCTTTGTAGAGCATGAAACCTGAAACAGACACTGGGTGTGTCAATGTTTGTGGAGCGAATGATCGCTCACGTTTCACGCCATACACAGTAGCTTCAAAGAAAACCCTACATATTTTTCGCCCTATACCCAACGCTGAATGCATGGTATTGTTTGTGGAGCGATTAATGGCTCGTGAAGTGAGATGTCGAGCTAACAGAACAGACTGACAGACACGCACCACAGCTACAATAACTCTTGCTGCGCATGTGCGCCGAGGGTTAATAATAATACTACATAAAAAGGTTCCTAACATTTTCATTAGTTGAACGTTAAGTTTTCAGGCAGCTTGGAACGAGGGGGGTCTGTTAGTCTTAATCTTCACACTGCTGTATTACTGCTCTTGGCCATCAACAACAACCATCTACTGCAATTATTTCACGCTTAGCTAGATTCCATCCATTTTTTACACTTGTGTATTAAAACTAATGCCATTACGTGTTTGTTACAACCTACATATGCGTAGCCTCCAAAATAATGAAAAGCACTGAAGTGCAAACCCTCGGCAAACTGCGCACGCGCGGTACCACTAATTGATGGGCTGGGCTTTTAGTATGCGCTTACTCGTGGTATCCACGCTAGTAGCTCGCGGAGAGTCTGACACGGACTAGCTACAGTAGTAGATAGCATGCGGGAGTCGACACATGCCCTTCGTTGTGACTTATGCCTTCAAGATACACGCCTGTTCAAACTATAAGCGCATGCGCATTTTCCGCAGTGATAAAAATGGCCGACTACGCATTAGCCGTACAATGGTGGAAGCGCTCTAGCTTTGCAACGAAGCATTTTCAGAGAAAACCGCCTTTATTTTCTGACCTTCGTCACCCGTTGGGTAGATGGCATCGTTTCTGGGACGAACAGACGTTCGAGGAGTGAGATGTAGAGTAACAGACAAACAGACAGACCCAACTACTGTACCCTCGCTGCGCATGCGCGCCGAGGGTAAAAATTAGGCTTTACTCTTTAGCTATGAAGATGAAACAACTGGTACAAAATGTGTTTTGCATCACTTTTATGTCTAGAGTATGAAACACAGATAGATATTTGTAATGCATTATCCATGTTTAAAATGCCTGCCATGTGGTTTGTTATTTTATCATCATTATTGCAATGTTGGGATTTTGGTGATTGCATTTTTGTTGTAATTCCCTCAGGTACTCTCTTTCTCAAACTTTAAAACCGATGAAACTTAGTACACATGTTTTGTGCATCATTCTTATGCACCTAATGTGATTATAGGTTCTTACACTAAACAGATAGCCTTTAAAATTGCCCTAATTAGACTATACTAACGGTGGATAAACGTCGGCATTGCATATCCTCCTTGCCCTATGGAAAGACTTTTGAACTTGACGTATGTATTAGTATTTCATTACATGTTTGTAGGCATCAACAAGAAACATCAGGAACCTTTTACTTTATTCTTTAACTGCTGCATAATATTGATGATGGTATAACTTGGTACACAAGGGCACTGCATCTTCCCCATGATATTGTTTCGTGCAGCTAGCCTTTGTTAGAGGGGGCTTGGGGGTATTATGCATGTAATGGGGTGTTTGATGTTGCTCTTCATTTTGCTTCTTCGTCTACATCGTGCTCATTCTATCTTTTACAGGAAGCACTCCTGATGACCTTGATCATCAGGTCCTAGCAGTTGGTTATGGAGATCTTGAGGAGATTCCTTACATCCTTGTGAAAAATTCATGGTCTACACACTGGGGCAATGATGGATACATTCTAATGAGTCAAAAAGACAATAACTGTGGTATTGCAACAGATGCATCATATGCTGATGTCATTTGAAAGATTGACTGTAGTGTGTTTGTTAAGCATGCATTGAAAAAGATTGGAATGTACATTAGTGTCAAAATTACGCACACCAACGTTCATTAATTATTAAGATAGTCGCAATACGTACATTTGGGTACGCACTTTCTTATTTGGGTACCCAGTTCTCATTTGGGTACACACTTTTTTTTATTGGGTACACAGTTTTCATTTGGGTATGCACACTTTTTTATTTGGGTACCAAGTTTTCCCAGTTCACAAACTCTGTGATTTTGGTTATCCCAATAATACCCCAAATTTAATTTAGAGAATCATTGTGTCATAGTTTGTCATTGTTTTATCATCATGCTATGTAATAATAGTACAATAATGTGAGTGAGGTTGCGGAAAACTTCATTGTGCAATTCACAAACTCCAAATAAAAAGTGCATACCCAAATGAAAACTGGGTACCCGAATATAAGTGCAAAATGAGAACTGGGTACCCAAATAAAAAAGTGCATACCCAAGTGAGATTAAACAATTAAATAAAATCTCATTTTGAAACATGTCAGCTGCAATGTACTAGGAGGATAATAGCACCTTTTTCACTTACACACATTTATTTTTATAAACACTTTCTTTTGTCCATCTCTAGATGCTTAGACAGTAGTCGTCTTATTGTGTATAATTTTGCCTGGTCACTCTCTCGTTCAAAATTTATCACTATCAATGATTCACAAGTGTCCAACACTATTGTAGTTTTTATTCACCAACTTTGTTCCCTTTATGTTTACCTGTCGGTGTGTGAACCGATTGGTGAGTGAAGTAAGCCTACCGTATTGTATGAATGCAGCATTTTTCTATTGTATTGGGAAAAGGGAGCAGGCCAACCTAGTTGTTGCAATGAGCCAATTTTCTCTATGAAGTAATGGGCACATGCATGCATACCGTGTAGTGACCGTTGCATAGAAAATTCCTACATTGAAATGACTAGGTGGGTCACTTCAATTGCTGATTATTACAAGTGAGATACCCACCAAAATATGCCGAAACACAGAATGATTATTATTGGCGAGTGAAGCAAGCCTACCTAGTCGTTTCAATCTTAATATTATTACTATCGGTCGGGCACCACTAAAAAATATTTTGCCGCTATTACCCCGCAGTACCACTAGCAGAACTTCTGATAAATGTAGAAGATTATTTCACTGTACTTCAGGTAACTGCGGTTGTCTGAAGTTGTGGTAGAAGTTGGGAGGTACTGTGGCTGCTTAAACAAACATAATTTCACCCACACCCAGCCAGCCATGCAGGTGCAGCTGCTGAAGTATCTGGGTAGTTCCTTGTGGTTCATTCTGGTTTCTCACCAACCTGCCCAGCTAGGCTTGACAATAGCTACAGGGTATAAAAGAGTCCCAGTTTCTAAGCCAGACTTAGTTGAGTAGTCTTAGAAAGTTAGAGCAGTCCTGAGATGTGTGAGGAAGAAGGGTTCGTATGGGTGACGTGGGTGGAAAAAAAGAACTCCTCATACAATAACAAGACTCACAAGATCCCCAAAGAAACTCTGGTTGATCCTCCAGCAAAGTTGGAGGTTGGAACACCAGTGCAAGTGTATTGGGACAAAGATAGGTTTCGAACGTTTTGGAGTGCTGCCAAAAAAGCAGCGAAAACGAAAACGTGACATTGAGACAAACGATGGTAAGTTTTTAAGACCACTAATAGTATACTTTTAAAAACCATTTATACAGATCACAATTCAAGAGCACCACAGGGAGATAGAAAGGGGAAAAAACTTGCTACATGCGGGTGGCATTAGTGGTTTTTAATGTGATACAGAGACACTTAAAATATTTTCACTCACAGGGTGCTCTTCTGATATTCCTAGCACGTCAACAGCTCTGCAGACATTACCACCCAAGGGTACATCCACATCGTCTCTAAATGACGGTTAACGAGCCGGCACGCATGCGCCTTGGTGAGAGAGCACGTGATCAGGGCATTTTGCTAGTTTGCTCGTCGCCAGGTGGAAGCTCCTCTCTTGCGTGCTCATTTTTCTTTCTTTTTTCTTCTCCATCCCTTCGAGGGTGTGACGTACTACAACTCTGAAATCTCTACATTTGCTTTGTTCTGCACACCCAGTTTGGACACTAAGTACATAGCTTTTGTTTCACTTACTTTGTGGCACACATTATTTTATCTTACATTTAACAGGATGTTCCTTGAAGATGGTGAATCAGTCTGTACAGACATTTCTAACGGAGTCAACAACCACCTCATCCCAAACAGAAGCCTACTGCGATACAGGTCCAAACCTATGCACTAGTATATCAAATTTAGGCTGCGTTTTCCATAATTTTGTCTTGCTTACTACATATTTCTTTCCTTTTTAGATACTCTGACCTCCATTCTGAAAACGCACTATCTCCAAACACTCTGGACCATCTACTGCCACACAGCCTTTCCAGCCATACACACAACAATTGCCAACTGTTCTCCAGTCGCAGCCTCTCCAGTGCCAGCCTCTCCAGTCGCAGCCTCTCCCGTGCCAGCCTCTCCAGTGCCAGCCTCTCCAGTCACAGCCTCTCCAGTGCCAGCCTCTCCAGTCGCAGCCTCTCCAGTGCCAGCCTCTCCCGTGCCAGCCTCTCCAGTGCCAGCCTCTCCAGTCACAGCCTCTCCAGTTCCAGCCTATCCAGTTGCAGCCTCTCCAGCAATACAAGACACAACAGCTGCAAAGCGCTCTACCACCACAACAGCCGCAGTCATTCCAGCAACATGCAGAATCACAGTATGCCCAGCAGTGTTACCAATCTCCCACCGAGCAAGCACACTCTTCTTATCTTCAACACCAGTACACAGACACCACAGGCTCAACAAACTTTAGCCTTCAAATCGACCCAGATGTTGACGAGGCTGTTAGTATTCTGAGTGAAATGTCTGAGCCTCAGTGGTCTTCAGGCCACTTCACTCAGCGTCCTTCCACCCCACCTCTCCTTCACCCATCAATTGTTATACCCCAAACTCCAAAGGGTGACAGAATTAGGAGAATAACTGGTAACAGGAAGTATAAGGATGTGAGCAAGGCATGGAGAATGGCTGTAGCATTAGCCACCGAAGTATACTTCAGTAAAGGAAGTCTGGGCTCACCAGTGATCATGGGCGGCTGGAGGTGCTAGACTCAGAATCGATGGCTGAAATCGAAGACACTGTAAGAAACTACTACCGAACGAAGGTTCGAAACACTGGTGGTGTTTGGGCGAAGGCACGTATGGCTATAGCCAAAAAATGCCAGTCACTGAGGAAGTAAATTACGTATATACGTATAGCTGTTCAACCATCCATACAACCTCTACTGTAGTTGTGCACCCCACACATATCATTGTTCTGAAGATTATTATTTGTTATGCTGTGTAGGTTTGCATGCTAAAGAGGTTAAATAAATAGCTGTGGTTGAGTCATTAACTAAGCACAATGCGACATGAATATTTTGCCACTTACACGGTGTCGTAGCTGTTGCATACATAGCTTGCAGCTAAGAAATACATGTCATTGTGTTATGGAAACTTGATCAGGCAAACTTTACAAGTGAAATGCACAATGTGTATGATGGTTTAAAAAAACTGGAGAAAAACACAATACCCGGTAGCACTACCACAGCATTCTATCACTTCTTTGTCTAAATGTTTAATGTAACGGCAGCATTTAAAAACATCTACTGTTGCCCAAAATTGCTTGATGCTATCAACAAGCTGTTGTTTATTCATTGGCTTCACCTCACGCCTCAAAAAATTCTTTTAATTCATGCCACAAGTTTTCAATTGGGTTCAGATCAGGAGATTCTGGAGGGGTTTTCCACCAGTTAATGCCATTTGCAGCATAAAATTCCCTAGCTCTTCGAGAGGTGTGCTTAGTATCAGCAATAAAAGGCAGAAGCTATCGAGTAAGAATTTCAATAGAAATCTCTGCATTCATCTTTCCCTCAAAAAGCACACTTTTGTTGCCCCTCTCTTGCTTATTGCAGCCCAGACATGTACTTTCACAGGGTGCTTTGGTCTTGGTTTGACCCTTGGTGCTTGCCCTTGCTTGCGAAACGAATGTCTACGATGACATTCAAGTTGAACAGATGTTTCATCACTCCATATTACATCACAAAATGTTTCTTTGTCTGCTACACATTTCTGAGCAAACTCTAAACGTTTCAATTTGTTGGGCTCACGAATCAGTTGGCAATAACGAGAACCCTGAAAGGTCCATCCCAGCCACAATGCTTAATAGTTGCTAGGCTGATGTAAAATCCAGATTGATTGAGTACATGCTGTAGCTGTGTAGCTGTAGTTTCATCATCTGCATTTGCATTCCACAATCTGGTAAATTGCCGGCGATAATTTACTGCGTCTTCCAGACCCTGGTTAACTGTACTGAATGAAGCGGTTGATGGCTTGTCGTGACACCGTAACTGCATATTCCCTTCTCGATGCTGCGGCTATTTGTTGACTGTGATGTATGCCAATGTGCAAGCGTACCACCCTTTTTATACACTTGCTACAGCGCCGAAGTTCAGGTGAAATGCATATGTGTACAACATATACATAGAGACCATAAAATCATCTGCCTGTCCAACAACAGCAATCAAAGGTTGTGCAAGACACTGTATGAAGTATGGTATGGAAAACAACCAGATGTAAGCCACCTGAGAGTGTTTGGGTGCACTGCTTATGCACACGTACCAGATGCTCAAAGAAACAAGTTAGACAAGAAGTCTCAGAAGTACCGTTTTGTTGGATACAGCAACGAATCCAAAGGCTATAGATTGCTGGAAGAGAAGTCGTCAAAAGTCTTCATTCGTCGAGACGTGATTTTCAATGAAACAGACTTTGGACAGAGAACAAAGGAGGTCAACACCCAGCAAGAAAAAGTTGAAATAGAAATCAAGCCAGGAGTTGAACCAGACACTCAAAATGAATCAGAAGAAGCAAGACGCTCTGAACGCCAGAGACAACCACCTGTTAGATATGGTCTGGACGAGTATGCTGACATGGCTGCAACAACTGATGACATTCATCATGTAGCATGTCATGTTAGACAGATCGAAGAGCCAAAATCTATTGAAGAAGCTTTATCAAGCGAGTTTGCTAAGGAGTGGAAAGTTGCAGCAGATTCCGAATACGAGTCACTCATAGAGAATCAAACATGGGACCTTGTAGAATTGCCCGATGGTAGGAAACCGATCGGGTGTAAATGGGTCTTCAAGGTCAAACATACCAGTGATGGAAAAATTCAAGGCAAGACTAGTGGCCAAGGGATATGCCCAGAAATACGGGATCGACTACAATGAAACCTTCTCCCCTGTTGTAAGATTCTCTTCAATTCGAGCACTGCTGGCATTTGCAGTACAGAACGACATGCTCATTCACCAAATGGAAGTGGTGACTGCATTCTTGAATGGTGAGCTGAAGGAAGAGATATACATGCAGCAACCAGATGGATACCTTCAACCTGGAAAAGAAGAACTAGTCTGCAAACTCAAGAAGTCGCTGTATGGTTTGAAGCAGTCACCCCGATGTTGGAATACTACATTCGAAGATTTCATGAAGTCCATTCAATTTGAATCTAGTGCAGCAGATCCATGCATCTACGTTCGAGGCACTAACCAAGTAAGCATGGTTGCAGTATACGTAGACGACTTGATTGTAGCAACCACCACCCCAGAAGAAATGCTGGAAGTGAAGGAAATGCTCAAAGCATGCTACAAAATGAAAGACATGCATTATTGCCTTGGCATCAGCATCAATCAGAACAAGGAGGAACGAGGTATTTGGATTCATCAGAAACAATACATACTTAACATGCTCGAAAAGTATGGATTGATGGAAGCAAAGATAGTAGCAACCCCAGCTGACCTCAATGTAAGGTTACAAGCAGATGATGGAGTCAGCAAGCTGGTTGATCAAGTAAGCTACCAATCGATGGTTGGAAGTGTACTATATGCAGCCATTGCGACAAGACCAGACATCTCCCAAGCAGTGGGAGTAGTGTCAAAGTACAGCTCAGAGCCTACAGAAGGTCACCTAACTGCTGTAAAGAGAATATTGCGTTACCTGAAGGGAACAGCAGATCTTGCAATCACTTACAAAAGGTCAGAAGATACACCACTGTTTGGATGCAGATTGGGCTGGGGATCTGGACGATCGACACTCGACCACTGGAAATATGTTTCAAATGGCAGGAGGACCAATTAGCTGGCTGAGTAAGAAGCAAGCAATGGTGACTCTATCAACTGCTGAAGCAGAATACGTGGCTCTTAGTACAGCAGCACAAGAAGCTGTGTGGCTCGGACAGCTATTGAGGTACCTTTAGAACAACTGACTCTAATCAAGGAAGATAATCAAGCCATTGCAAGAAATCCCGTGTCACATGGACGGACAAAGCACATTGACATTCGATATCACTTCATTCGTGAAGCAATACAAGAAAGAAATATCTCCCTAGAATACTGCCCAACAGAGGACATGCTAGCAGATTTACTGACAAAGCCAATACCGAAAGCAAGATTCAAGAAACTGCGAGATGAAATGGGAATGGGGTATTCTGCACCACAACCTACTGATTAAGTGGCAGTGTTGATATGTAATCTAACATGGTTGTGAACATCAGAACTTACCAGAACAGAAACACTCGTAGAAGCTGTATAGAGTAGCATTTTCTAGAACAGAGCAGGTAGCTATAAAATTCAGATTTTGTACCATTGCGTAGAGTCGAGTGAATAAGTATCAGATCACTAAAAGGGTGTTTCGTGTCCGTTTGCGCCGAGACTCTCAACATACGTCCTATTCATGAGAGGGGGTGCTAGGGGTATCTGGGAGCAGATCAGCCTCAGAAGGCGACACATGAACTTTTCCATTGATAATTAATTTTCCATCTGAGTAGCGTATGAACGCTCTCTTTCCCTCAGATCTGGCTTTTTTCATGACATTTACTAGACTCCTTCTCTCTTCTCTCTCCTGCTTCGATAAATCCTCCATCACAAACATTCCAGACCCACTTAGCCTTTTGGCTTGCTTCAGGACATTTAGTTTGTCTTCAAAGCATTTCATTTTCACAATTACTAGTCGTCTCTTGCTAGGGGTTGGTTTGCCCAGCCTTGTGACATACAGCGGAACTTGGTCTATTTGAAGTTTTTCCTTCAGGATTGTGCCAACCTTCTCTCTTGTCTCTAGTACAGATTCATACTCATTCTCTTCCACATTTCCTAGCAGAATATTGCATCTCCTCTTCTCCTTCTCTTTCTCTCTTTCCAAACTCATTTGATTAGCCTTTAGAGATTGGATTTGACACTGCAGCTGGATTAACTGCTGCTGACGAGTGTCTTCAATGGGTAGGTTTGAGTTTTCACCAGGTGAGTGCTGTGTCGCAGTGCTTGGAGACTGCGCTGGCGAAGGACTTCCAACCTCTTGATCATTACGCAGACCACGTGAGGGAAAGTCAGACTCAATTTTTCCTCTAACTGACTAACTCTTAACACTAGGACTTTGTCCTCAAAGTTGTTCGATTGTCGTAGCGTCTTCGAGACCTAAGATATGGTCGTGCAAAGTCTGCTAGCTTTAAAGCTAGCAGACTTTGCACGACCATATCGAAGACACTACGACAATTGAACAACTTGGAGGACAAAGTCCTAGTGTTAAAACTTTTCGGCAGATACCGTATATATATACGGTAGCGTATTGCGCTGCGCGCTGTGTAAAAATGCGCCCATACATTACGCCCCTGCCGACGTGAAGGAATGTACTGCAGTGGTGACGTCAATAGCAATTACGCGTAATTGCATATTTCAGCCTCTTCAAACGAAAAGGGCTCAGGACACATTTATGTCCGTGGCTGGTTAGCCAGGAGGTAAAACTGCATATTTTCAGGAAAGTGAAGAAGTTCCAAGTTACTGTGTATCACTAAGTACGGTAGTACTTAGTATATAGGGATTGGCATCGTACCTAGCATCATAGATGTATGGGGCTATGATAGGGAGTTTTGTTCATCATCTTCTTCTTCCTGTTCGACCAGCATAACTCAAAAATCGAAAGAGATAAAGCCATGAAATTTTGTAGGAATGTGCGTATCAATGGACTCATCATACCTTTTTGTTTGTAAACAATGTTGTTTACTGTAAACAACAACAAAATTGCCCCAGGCAATACATTATAATGGGCATACTAGATGTGTCGGTGTAACTCACAATTGGTAAGAGCTATGTGAAAGAAAGTTTGTATTCAATAGACAACATCAAAATCACAACAATACATAATTATTTGTAAATAACAACAAATAGCCTCAGGCACTTTTGTTT